AACCTTAAGTACTTTAATTTTTCATCTTTTTAGTTTGCTGAAGTAAGGATTTTATCCAAATTGCTCATCTCTTCTTACATCCAAAGCACAACTTAAAGTAAGTTTAAGACACACTGAATTATCAAATGGGTACTTCCTCATAATTTTAAGGTCTTTATTTTGACATGAAAAACACATTTACTTCTAAAATGAGAACTGACTACATTATACTCGAATAAATCTTTTTCAGTCAATATTTTTATTTTTTCAGTGTCACCAGTGGGTTAGCAAAATACCAGACCTCCCAATAGAATACATCACTGATCCTCTGCTTTTAATTTTTGTTTATCTAATTTTACAATGTAATGATAATGTATCTAGAACCGATGTAGATTATCTCCAACAGTTGACCTTAGTTTTATCTGTAAAATGCTAAAAACATTTTTCCAAAACCCAAGCTGACAAATTCTTTGGTTTTGTTTCATCTGAGCATCACTTTCAGCAGCCAGGTTTCACAATTTCTCATAGCTGAAAAGCTGGAACCAGGGATTGTTTGCAACTGAAAAAAATTACTGCAACAATTATTTGGTTGTCAAAAACGTTGCCGGTAATTTTCTGCTGACTGACATTCATCAAGCAGACTGTGTTGCTACAGTGCATTTCAGGCTCAAGACTCTATCTGTCCCTGGTTGATGTTTATATCTCGAGGAAACATGAATTTAATTTCTAAAGGGACGCATATTAAGAAAATGATAAAGTCATTAGCACACAGTTAGGAAACAGTCGTAGAAATCTCCTGTTTCTCCATTAAGTCAAATGTAGGGCAACTTCCCTGGCCCTGCAGACGTCATGTCTCACTAGTGCTTCCATGTGTTTATGTTGGACCTCAGCCACTATAGCGGGAGGCAGCTATAACTGTATACTCTCCTGTATAATCCAAATCACATGAACCAGTGAGGGAGAGTCAAGCACGTGGTCCTATAATACATATAAAACATGCTGCTAGAGCTAAAGGGGGAAAACAATGATGTTTTTATAAAAGAAAAAATGCTCTTTCAGCTTGATTTGGCCCGTGAGGCTGAAATTTAAAACATTTGTGGACCTTGACATGGAAAAAGCAACAAAAAGTGGGAACATGCTGAAAAATCCCAGCTTTTATAAAAATGTGTCAAATAAAGTCACTGAAATGTTGCAGTGCAGGTTGATCCATGATAGTCTTACTAAAGGTCACATCCTGTGTGGATGCAAGAGGCCTAAGGTTTGGTTCTCTCATTTATAGCACTGATACAGTCACATTTCATTAAGTAAACAGTGACCAGATAAGGAGAATTGAACCTCTATGGACAAAAGGAGTGGGTTGTTGGATGAGACTGATCTCCATCTGGCTATCAGAGTCACACATTCACACGCCTCTGGTTCAACTGAGTGCTATTCTAAGTCACTGCCTTCCTACACAGCTGATAAGAAGCAGAGGCTCAGATCTGGGCCATAATACCACACAGAGAGGTCCAGAGGGGTTTATGGCTTAAGAGGTTCCCCAAGCATGTGATCGGTAAATGTTTCTACAACCCTAAAGCCAAAGGCTGCAGGTCATGCTCGCAGATAAAAGCAGAGCAGAAGTGCATCTCGTAGGTAAGATTGGTTACAGATTAGAAATATATAAAGATTTTCTCTCTTGCATGTCAGTTTTGTGCCTCCAGAAGTACAACTGCGTTCCCACTTTTAGAAGATCTATTGTACTTAAAACAGTAAAGGTTTCATTCATGCAATGCTTCAACTAAGAATGTTTTCAGGTTTTTGCAATATTTTTACACATCAGTGTTTCCTTTTGGCTTTAGGGGAGACACTTATCATTAAAGACAAAATACAGAAATACTGATTAAAGCAATGCTCAATGTTTCTTAAGTTTTCTGTCTGGATTGTCTTATTGCACTGTGCAGCCAGACCATAACGAGGTTTCTCGTGGTGTGACTAGAGGTTGCATTAAAAACTAAACTGCACTTAAGTGGCGAATAAATGGATATGTACTGGTTCTCATTCAGAGGTATTTTGTTTTTAGATTTTGATAAGACAAATGAATATCTAAATTATTTTGTTTGTTTGTTTTCTTGCAAACTGCACAAGTTTTCCTCAGATATCGGACTAATTGTGCAGAAAGTCAAGGCCGCCACACGTTGGTTGAGACTCAGTGTCTTTTATAGCTCTGACAGATAAGTGTCGTTACAAGGTCTTTGACACGGGTCATAAATGTGTGTAACAACTACAATGTCAAATACACAAGCCACACTGAAGGACAGCAAAAGGTTACAGTGGGTGACAAGAGCAGAAAACAGTTGATTTAGTTCTGAATTCATTGTCTACTATGACCTGTACCAGTAAGGTAGTTGGGATTTAATTTTAAAAAGTCTAATTGTAGTCTGTTTTGTAAGGAAACACAGGTGAGAATAACACACATTAGAAAGACACTATAGAAATGAGAAATGTTGCGTGTTGAAAAAGTGCAGCTCCTGCAAGTGTTTTGTGAATAAAACATGATTTGCATGAAAGAGTTGCACAACATATTTAAATTTTGTCCAACATGGATCAGCATTGAAGTTTTAGAAACACACATTTTAAGCAGTAGACATGACTACTTACAGTTGGAAAAGGACAGATGCTACAAAAAACATAAAATATGTTAGATAGATAGATAGATAGATAGATAGATAGATAGATAGATAGATAGATAGATAGATAGATAGATAGATAGATAGATAGATAGATAGATAGATAGACAATGTATGATTATTGCTGTTTCATCAATTAATAGGTTCAACAAACACACAATATTGCACATTGCTAAACATGTATAATTATATATAAACCAAACTTACAGAGGTGTACAAGGTTCAAGGTTACTTTATTAATACCCGTGGGTATATTTGTTTTGCAGAAAACAAATGATAGCATTTGGCAGTCCTTATCAAAATACACATTGAACCTAACAGGCAGGTACTTGATCGAGTAAGATCAAGATAAATGAAAATAGAACACAATAAGAAAAACCTTAGGGAAATTGCTGGGATAAAAACAAGGATAAAAACATCAAATTTAAGTTTAAAAGTCACAATGATAGATAGAGCTAAGAAATAAAATAAGTAGAATAAAATAAAAAATAAAGTGCAAATGTCTCTACTTCCTATTGAGCTCAGTAACTGCAACAGGAACAAAGTTGTTTTTATAATGCTTTGTCTGCGCCTTGGGACTAAAAACCTCCGTCCAGAGGGAAGAAGCTGAAATTCACCTCCAGGATAGGAGTCATCATTAAGAATTGATAAAACCATCCTCTGTATCTGTTTAGTGTACAGGGAGGCTGGACAAGACTGTGACTCACCAGTCAGGCGACTGGACCATCTCACTATATGGTTCAATGAGTTTTTCTTTGTAGCAGAGGTCTGACCTAACCATGCCACCAAGCAAAAAGATAAAACAGACTCAATAAAAGATCGATGAAACAGAGTCAAGATTGTTTGATCAATGTGGAAATGTTCAAGTTTTCTGAGGCAGTGAAGGCGCTGATGGCCCTTTTTGCAGACAGACTTGCAGTTTTCATCAAAGCTCAATTATTTGTCAGTTATGGTCCCAAGGTATTTACAGCCGTCGTCAAATTTATTCGTACCCTTTGAATAACGAAGGAAAAAAACAGTTGTCACTGAAATAAGTTGAAATTGACAAAAGTAATGATAAATAAAAGTTTAATGAAAATCATAACACTGCTTTTGAATTGTGGTTCAACAGAAATTTAATAAAAACAACAAAAAACCCACACAGACACACACACACACACACACAAACAAGCAAACAAGCATGATGGGATTCGTAAACTAATATTTTGTTGAACAACCCTTTGAGGCAATCACTGCAATCAAGTGTTTTCTGTAACTCTCAAACAGACTTCTGCACCTGTTGACAGGTATTTTGATTTTGTCCCACTGCTTATCAGCAAAGTGCTCTAATTTGTATGGGACATTTTTTTGTTTGTTTTTAAAAAAATATTCCTTTCAGCGACAATTCAAAAGCAATGTCTTATTTCACTAAATTATCCATCCATTATCTATACACCACTTAATCCTCACTCAGGTCGCAGGGGGCTGGAGCCTATCCCTTCTGACTTAGGGCGAAGTCAGGGGACACCCTGGACAGGTCGCCAGTCCATCACAGGGCTACACTTAGAGACAGACAACCAAGCACACTCACATTCACACCTATGAACAATTTAGAATCACCAATTAACCTCAACATGTTTTTGGACCTTGTGGGAGGAAGCTGGAGAACCTGGAGAGAACCCATGCTGCACGGGGAGAACATGCAAACTCCACGCAGAAAGATCCTCACTGGGATATGAACCAGTGACCTTCTTGCTGCGAGGCAACGGTGCTAACCACCGAACCCCCTTGCAGCCCTTCACTAAAGTATAATTTTGCAAATTTTTATTTATTATTACTTTTTTCAGTTTCGAGCTATTTGAGTGACTATTGTGAATTTTGCCTTTTCTTTAATGGAAGGGTATGAATAAACTTGAGGATGACTGTGAATGATTGCACGCACTGTATTTCTTTACCTTTACTTAAAGTGACTGTTAGTTGTTTTCTAAAATCACAAAACAATATTAGGTATAAAATAAAAGTAAAGCCAGGGGTTAGGCTATGCAAATTTGATCCAAAAAAAGCCACACATTTAAATAAAGCATCAACAGAAAAAGGTGCAAAACTTTTGGGCATTTTTTCTGTTTGTACTAAAATGAAGAATGGACCAACGTTTAATCTAATTAACCAGAACCTTTATGGATATAACTGATCTCAGCATGATCACATTCACCAGGCTGGATTCCGCCTCACTCAGCTGACCCTGCAGCAGCCAGAGGTGAGCAGGTGTTATGTGTGTGTCCGTGGCGCCCCCTGCCGGCAGAGAGGAGCAGCGCAGCGTCTCCTCCTCCTCGCGCCGCTCAGGTGAATGTTTTACCTGCGGCTCGTGACGTCACGGCACCTTCAGGAACAGCAGACGGTGGGTCCGAGGTGTCCGCAGCTTAACGATTTTCTCTGGTTTTCATGAAGAAACCGCGCCGGTGCCGGTAAAGAGTCGAGCTGAACTTTAAACTGTTTGCTCTGAGAAGGTTCAAACATCATGTCCGCCTCCGCTATATTTGTGTTGGACCTGAAGGGGAAGGTAAGAGGACCAGCAGACTGTTGTCTCTGGTTAAAGCTCATCCGGCTGCGACACGACTTGTTAAAGCCTATTTGTTCCGTCTTTTGGTTGTTCGGGTTTACTAGTTTTAACTGTTGCTTTAACTGTTACATATTGAACGCTTCGTTAAAAATTAATGTAGTCCTTGCGACAGACTCATTCACTGGCCTCTTTTTCTTCTTTTTTTTTTTCTTCTTCCGGATACTCGGCTGTCAGAGGAAACAGGTGAAAGTAGCCAGTTTTGTTGTAGCACCTGCAGCATCAAAGTTCTTGTTTATAGTCATAATAGTTATCTTTTTTTATAGAGCATTTTTTAGAATCCTAAAGTGCTTCACAAGGCAGCAGGACAATAACAATAATAATAATAAAAAAACAACAGCACAGTATAGAAAACTAAAACTGTTAAAAAGACGTTGAGTGAGTGAGTGAGTGAGTGAGTGTGAAAATGTGTGTTCTGAAGTAATTTACAGAATCATTAAAGTACCTCAGCTCCAACGGCATACAATTCTATGAAAATGAACCCCTTTTGTACAATATTCAGGAGAATAAAAAAGAATAACAAATTTGCAGACTTACTGACTCTGTCTCAAACACAAAATGTCCTGAAAAATGTATTTATTTGTTTGTGTTTTTTTGTGTGTTTGACAGATGTTACTGGCAAAATTGTACACCTTATATTTTGATATAGAAACAGAAACTAAAGAGAACAAGCAATGTCAACATTTCACTGTCTTCAAATAACTATAAGATGGAAATACAACTACACAATTCAAATACTTATATGGACAATTGCCAACTATTTAGCATGTTTGTTGCCTTTCTGTTTTTGTATTGTTCTTTTATAATTTCAACAACACTTTCAAAACCATTTTGACCACTTCCATCACATAGACCTACTTACTTATTCACCTAAAATATTCATACATTTAACATTTATATAAATGATCATATACATGATATTATGAGATGATGAATTAGCTACTTGAGCTTTTATTGGTGCTGAAATTCTTTCTAAGCAGATGAGTTAAAACATGGGTGTAGCAGTTGTCTTTACCTTATTTATGGCAACCGATCTGATAACATATTTAAGAGAAATTATATTTTATCCAATGTAAGAGCAAATTTTTTTTTAATACCGCATGTTTATTGTGGTCCTTAAAACCTTTCTTCCCATCAAAATGACTCAGCGCAGTGTATCTTTTTGACAATATCAAGGTGTCTCATTTTATGGAAACGGACACTGATCAGACACTGAAGGTGCTGATCTGCAATTGACAAAACAGGACACCCACTAAATTAGCATTTTTCAAAAGGGCAAAAGGGGGAAAGAATTGATTCTTAAGAATTTGCAATATGTTTATAAATGATATTTCAAACTAAATTGGAAACATGCAGTGGATATTTGTCTTGAGATAGAAGATTAGTAGTTTTTAATGTCAGAACATTATGTCGTTTTAAGTATTACTGTACGTGATGTCAGTGCCACTTTTATGATGCCATACCCATGTTAAGTTTTTGTCCTCATCAAATGTATTTTCAGCAACGCATAAGCAGTGATTTGGGTTATTTTATGTATTCCTTGAGAAGATACAAACCCTTAGAAATATCACAATATTTAAAGAAATAAAAGAGAGTTTAGAGGAAATTAAAAGAAAGTAAATTCTGGAAAGTTCTGAGAAGGGACTCAGCTGACCTGAACTCCTCGGGGCCCTGATTGCAAACACTCTGTCCCGTTCAGTTGTCAGTGCCACCCCTGAAACAGACTGAAGACCTATGCCTGAGGATCATAAAGTGCATACTGGTGCTTATAAGAGTTCAGAGATATTCTAAAAGAGAGAAGCCACGAAGGGCCTTAAATAATGAATAAAATCTGCATGGACATGATCTCTTCATGACACAAACGCCCATTTCTTTCCACTCAGAAATGTAACCTGACACACAAGTTAGTGTTACTGAGAAGCAGGAGTGGAGATGGTTTCAGATGCTCTGTGTGATAAAAGGGTGTGTGAGGGCAGCACATGATGAGACACTGCACTTCATTTACTCCAGCAAACTTTTGCTTTGGTGGGTTGTTACTCTTCAGGTGGTTGCATTCTGAGTAGGTGTCAGGTTTGACCTGTTTTTACACCTGTCTTATCTTGGACATCTGAACTGTTTGTTGTAGTGTTGCTGTTCATAAAGTAGACAGGTCTGGAGAATTAATACATTCAGAACTAATGAAGACCAAAGATCACTGTATCACAGCATCTGATTTCCTAAAATATTAAACTATTGCTGGCATTTTCCTAAAATTGAGCTGTCACCGACTAATGAAAGAGTCCGTTGTGTCTTATTATCATTATCAAAAAAATGAATGGTTATTTTAATGAACTGACATCTAACGGTGTTTTATTTGCAATCACATAAGAGAAAGAATAGCAGCAAGTCCCCATAGCTGATATCAAGTAGTGTTTGATGTTTCTGCTTGAAAAATCACAGGTCATGGTGAAAGTCAATAAAACATTGTCTGGTTTCCTCAGAATTCCTCAGCATTAATGTACTTCATGAGAAGAATTATATGTCCAGTAAATATTCCTTATTAGTATTAGTAGTGTTAAGAAACAGTACTGCAAGGGTTTGTTTGTTTTGCTGTGAGATGTAGTTAAACTAAATCTTTTTTCCCATTCTTGTTGGAATCTAATATGTCCCTGATCTTGGTCCAGCAGCAGACTTCATGTCAGACTGTTTGAGTCATTTAGCTTCTGGAAATGTTTTTTTAAATTTAACGCATTTGCTCAGAATTTCTGTGTTTTTTGTTTTTTTTGTTGTTGTTTTTGTTTTTATCATATTGCATTGACTCACCATCATTAAGTAAAAGATGCATCCCAAACGTTGTGCTCTATCACAAATAACTGCCATATTTAGTTTACAGTGCAGCTTTCTGACAACGGTGTGTGTGTTATTGTCTCGGCTCAGGTGCTGATTTGCCGGAATTACAAAGGTGATGTGGACATGGCGGAGATCGACCACTTCATGCCCTTGCTCATGCTGCATGAAGAGGAGGGACTTCTCTGCCCTGTAATATCACACGGCAACGTTCACTTCATGTGGATCAAATACAGCAACCTCTACCGTATCCTTGTCCTCAGTATTGTACAGGTTATTACTTTACTGTAAATTACTGATAGTTATAGTTTGATGGGATGAATCCAGTAATTTCAGCTTCACATTAAAATGTAATTACGTGCAGAATGGTCCTTGACCTGACCTCTGTGCAGTTGTGGCCACCACAAACAAGAACTCCAACGCCTCCCTCGTGTACTCATTTCTCTACAAACTAGTCGAGGTGAGTGACACCATGTCATGCGATTAAATGTGGGTGTGTTATCATTTAAATGCTTGTTGTTTTCAAGGAGAGGTTTATGTTTGTGTCGGAAGTCAGTGAGAGGTGACGGTCTAAGATGGTGATAATGGAAAGTGAAAACTCGAAGTTCCCCAGATAAGGATGAAGGCTATTGTTGGTATAATGCAGGTGTTCACAGAGTACTTCAAAGAGCTGGAGGAGGAGAGCATTCAGGATAATTTTGTGGTCGTCTATGAGCTGCTGGATGAGTTGATGGACTTTGGATTCCCTCAGACTACTGACAGCAAGATCCTACAGGAGTGAGAATCCCCAAGATACACACAGATGCATGTATTTTTTTTTTAAAAGAAAAAGTCTGGTGTTGCATCACAGTATTTCATCTCATCTCTTGCAGATACATCACTCAGGAAGGTGCCAAGCTTGAGGTGGCAAAGAGCAAGGTGCCAACCACCGTCACCAATGCTGTCTCCTGGCGGTCGGAGGGCATCAAATACAAGAAGAACGAGGTCTTCATTGATGTCATTGAGTCCATCAACGTACTGGTGAGATAAAGAATGAACTGATTTATGATGATGATGTTTTCTTTGTAAAAACTACAAAAGACTTTGAGCGTGGTATTGTCATGTGCAAAATATGCAGTGTGCAAAAATGTACAAAATCTATCATGTGAAAAATATACAGTATGCCAATAAACACTTGCATATCTAAACGTTCAATACAACATAAAATAGGAGAGCATCTATATAAACATGTTGAACAGTCTCAGAATACATTTAACTCATGTGTAAAAGTAAGAATTTGTACCAGTGCATTACACAACCGTTTCCTTTACATAGAATACAGCAGTTAGTTCTCATTCTGTTCAGCAAAGAGTCTGATGGCAGATAATAGAAATGACCTCCTGTTAGGTTCAGGCTGAATAAACCTCCAGAGTGTGAAGAGTGTGTGTGTGATTTCTCATAACTGACCTCATCATCCTCACCTTTGTCACGGTCTGAATAGTGTCTGTTTCAGACCTGATGATGGAGGTGACCTTCCTGAACCTGTTCTTGCTTGCTGTGCCAACACCCTCTCCCCTACAGACCACTCCAATGAACAGAATAGTGGCCACTACAGTATGATAGAAGTTGCACAAAAGAGGCCTGCTGACTTCAGCCTTCTTTATAAAAATAAAGACGGCTTTCCTTTTCTTATCATCTCCATGAGAGTGGTCTATAGTCCAGTCTGTTTCCCAGTTCCACACCAAGATATCTGTAGCTAGAGCTGGTTTGGGCCTCTTCTGAAATCCACAACTATCTCCTTAGTTTGTATGATTCTTAGTTTTTAGATTGTTTTTAGTTTTAGTTTGGAGGAGCAACTGTCAGTTCTACATTGAAAATTTGATGTGTGAAGAGTAAACAAAAAAACTTGACAAGATGGTTCCATAGAAACAGTTTTGTAGGTGCACATACTGATACTGATATACTTGACGGAATATATGGTTCAGATTGGAAGTCATTGAATTATTGAATAGATCTTTAAATGCACTTTTGCATTGGTTTGTAGTAAAAACATAATCTGTTATGCAGCATATTCTGGGATGCTGAATAGACCAAAATTTACAGGATAATGTGAGATTTTTCTATAAATGTGGGTTATTACAATATCACTTTGTAACACCATCTATTATGCTTTCTGTGACGGTACAGTGTATCCTATTGTCTGTTTTGAGTTTTCTTCTGTATTCTGTATTTCTTCTCATTTGTTCAGGTGAATGCAAATGGCAGTGTGATGAGCAGCGACATCGTGGGCAGCATCAAGCTGAAAACCATGCTGTCCGGTATGCCTGAGCTGCGGCTAGGCCTCAATGATCGAGTGCTTTTTGCCCTCACAGGACGTACGTATGCAACATCTGTCTGATCATATCCATCTGTTGCTCCAGCAGGATGCGTACGGTTTGTAATCGGCTTTATTCTAAGTTAAGGTAAACTGACTGTGCTGATTTTTGTTCAGGTGACAAGGGGAAGACGGTGGCGATGGAGGACGTGAAGTTCCATCAGTGTGTCCGCCTGTCGCGTTTTGAGAACGATCGCACGATCTCGTTCATTCCTCCAGATGGGGAGTCCGAACTCATGTCTTACCGCATCAATACTCATGTATTGTCCAATTCACTACCTTGTTTTAATAGCAAGTTGAAATATTTGTCATGTTAATAACAAAAATAATGCATATTTGGATGATTTCAGATTCAGTGTTTAAGGCCTAACTGCATCAACTTAATCCATCCTAAATTAATGTAGCTGTAGTACAAGCACACAGACAGGATGCACTAAGAATTTAACCAAAAGGCCACACACCACAGATAAGAAAAAGTCCAAATGCATGCTGAAAATGATTGCCACTTGTGGAATGTATGTGAATGTAGTGTAGAAGTTGCTGAGGGAACAAGTGCTGTGTGATATAGCAAGACATTGCTGCCTCCGCGACCCGACTCGGGATAAGCGGGAGAAGATGGATGGATGGATGATTGCTAAATACATAAATAACACTCCATCTATGAAAAGTTCAAATGCAATAACAGTCTGAAGACTAACAGAGGCTATTTCAAGTAAAACAAAATCAACCTTACAGAAGTAACATTCAAAAGTTGCATATTATAGCAGTTTAGGCTAAATTCACGATTTGGGGATTGTGCCAGTAGCTGGAGAACAAAGCCATGCTGAGCTCTATAGCGCTATGCATGTAAACATTAGATTTTCATGTAAACTGAATTATATACATATATAAGTATATAAAGCATTGCTTACTTGTGAATCATTTGCATGTTGAATCCCTGCCCTTCATCTTTTACAGGTAAAGCCTCTGATATGGATTGAATCCATCATTGAGAAATTCTCTCACAGTAGGGTGGAAATCATGGTTAAGGTACGGGAATTAATTTTGTGTGTTTTAAGCTACTTCAACAGCAAAGTCACATGCATTTCATGAATATTGTCATGGATACTTTGGAAACTACCAGCAAACTCTTGAAGCATTAAGGGTTTTCTGTTGTTGATAGAATTTCTCAGTTTTTGTTTATTTAATAATGATTCTGCACTGTCTTTACAGTAACTGTCAAATTTGTTGTTGCTGTTAAACAACACTATAGACGGTGCTGTCAAAAGATAACTTGCTATATTGTGCTGTATTTAGGCAAAAGGACAGTTTAAGAAACAGTCGGTGGCAAATAATGTGGAGGTGAGGGTCCCTGTTCCCAGTGATGCCGACTCACCCAAGTTCAAAACCAGCACAGGCAACGCAAAATATGTCCCTGAAAAGAACATGGTGGTGTGGACCATCAAGTCTTTCCCTGTAAGAACTTAACATCTGAATCTTTTTATGCAAATTGTACGAAATTGAAATTATTTTTACTTCTATTAATGTACCTCGCTTCATCTTTCTGTTTCTGCCTAATGCATCTGTCTCTGTGTGTGAATCCATCCATGCAGGGAGGTAAAGAGTTTCTCATGAGAGCCCACTTCGGTTTGCCAAGTGTGGAGAATGATGAGATGGAGGGCAAACCTCCAATTACTGTCAAATTTGAAATCCCGTACTTCACAGTCTCAGGAATACAGGTATGTGTGCATGCAGGTTTGTGTGTTATTGAGAGGTTTTCCTTTAATGTCAGAAAACCCAGGAATATGCTCTGTACCAGTATGAGTCAAGTCCATCTGTTAAAAAGAAAAAAAAAGCAAGTTTATCATGGAGGTGAAGGCCAGAAAGAGTTTACAGCCTGTGGAGAGTCAAGTCAAGTCCTGTAAGAGCTGATGAGCTCGCTGTGGGAAGGTGAATTAATTTGATTCGATGATGCATATTTATGCTTCCTGCCTCAACACGCTGTGTCTGTGTCTCTGTCTTATTCTATTTCACCAGGTGCGGTATATGAAAATCATAGAAAAAAGCGGTTACCAGGCTTTACCCTGGGTCCGCTACATTACACAGAGTGGAGGTACATTAGCGAATTTCTGTTTTATTTTTATCATCCTATTTAACCAAGTGATCACGCACACAGCAATGGATGTAAATTAATGACCTTTTCAACTTGTTTTATAACTCTCCTTGCATTTGTTGTCTTTTAATTTAGATTACCAGCTGAGGACCAATGTGTAAAGGTTTACTGTGTATTCCTCATATCCAGGACTTCCAGAGGAGCATCAATGATCACTTTAACCAGACTGAAAGAATGTCTTAAAAATTTCACTTGCTCAATGCAAAGTCAATGATCTTGTTTTATGAAATCTGTGTGGAAATTTTAATGTTTCTACTGTGTGCAAATTATTTAAATGCTTAATCATGTTATTCCCTAAATACAATTTTTAAACAGCAACCTTTTTGTGTTTCTTGTGTTGTTTTTTGTGGTGAGTTTGCAACACATAAGGGGAGTTTTTGCCAGCATATTGTAGTCTTGCATTGTGCAATCACGGTCGCTAAATTCCGCCTAAAATTAAAAACTTGCACCCGCCTTTTTTCCTCACTTGCCTCTGGAGAAACACAAGCAAAGGTTAGAAATCTGAATGAACTGTCTTTGAAGACATCAACGTATACGAATCGCCCGCTTTCTTCGCTGCGTGCGCTGATTGGTGGAGCGCTGCTGTTACCACAGTGATACCGTAGTAACAGCGTCGTAGCACCGCCCCTTTCGCCATATATGGAAGAACAACACCCTCCTGGCGAGCTGTGATTGGCCAGCGTGTGTCCTGTCCAATGTTTGTAAATTGTAGTCTGGAGACACCGCTGTATGGATCTCAGCGCGCAAATGTATTTTGTAATGTTGATAAACTCCTCTTGTTTGAATTTTTATTAAATATAACCGGTCTGTAGGAGACAGCGGGGCAGAAAATCTTTGGCGACGTTTTGGATAGTACCGAACCGAACAAGGTATGCTTAAACGCGCTGTGGGCTCTGTTTTTAATGTTAGCCGTTAGCCTGGATGCTAACTGTTTGTTAGTCGACGTGGGTTTCCTCTCTGCGGGCAGAACAAATGTTTGTGTTGAGCTGTTGTGTTTCAGAGTTTGTTAAAAAAAAAAAAGAAAGAAAAAAAAACCCGACACAGTGTAACGATACAGTCAGATAACATGGCGTCAGCGGGGAACTGCAGCTTATGTTAGCCGGATGCTGTAGTAACGTTAGCTAGCTATAGCCCAACTTCATCTTTTCGGCTCTTTCTGTGTGTTGCTTTGAAGAGCAGCCCGTGGTTTGTGTTTCGTCGTTACCGTGGTCCGTGTCTTCCAGAGCTGCCAGAAAGAGAGACTAGAATGGTCCTAAGTCAGATGGATGCCGGTAAAGCCTTGACGGCGGCAGCAGCCAGAGGGAGTAGCAGCGAGGTGCAGTGGATCCTGGAGGAATGCAGGGTGCATCCCGACACTGTCAATGAGTTTGGCAGAACGGCGCTGCAGGTGAGCATCGGCTCAAATGTTCATACACGATTCACATTTACAAGCGAATTAAAACAAGAAACAAGTAAACAAGTGTTTACTGTGGATGAAATACGCTGTTAGTCGCTTTGGTTCTTCGGTTACAGAAACCGCCTCCTTACCTCTTAACCCTCAGGGGATGTCGAGTACATTTTTGTCCTTTCAGGTGATTTTTTTGCTCAGTTTTTGGCTCTAATTTTTTTTGTGTGTTCCTCCGAATGAAATGATTTTTTGTAGGAAGGTTTTTCTCATGAAAAATCATAAAATTCAAATTTCAAATTTTTTCCTAGGTTAACGGGGGCAAATTTACTACCCTTTGAGGATATTGGAGGACAAAAATGTCCTCGCCCAAAAACTGCTATAAAAACATAACAGATTAATTTTTTTTCTACTTTTTTTTTGCTATATTTTTATTTATTTAACCCTTTAAACACCATTTTGACTACATGATGTCACTATTTTTATGAAAAGAAAAATTGATAAAATTAGTTATTTTCCAAATAATAAATGATGGAGGGCTGGGGACTTTTGTCAAAGATCGGGCCTACATATACATACGATTATTGTAGTGGCCGATTCATAATTTACTACCCTTTGAGGATGTTAGAGGACAAAAATGTCCTGCCCAAAAACTGCTATAAAAACATAACAGATTAATATTTTTTTCTACTTTTTTTTTTTGCTCCAAGTTTTCAATCAACTTCTGCTCTAATCAAAAATACCAAACATTCATATATTTTTATTTATTTAGCCCTTTAAATGCCGTTTTGATTACATGATGTCACAGCGTTTATGGAAAAAACACACATAAAATGAGTTATTTTTCAAATAATAAATGATGGAGGGCTGGGGACTTTTGTCAAAGATTAGGCCTAAATATACATAAAATTAGTAATAGAATTGATATTGATGCATTGCTATTTTTTTGGAGTGACAGATTCTTAATTTACTACCCTTAATGTCCCATTGACTCCCATTATAATCACAATTATTAAACGCCCAGTCATTACACAATGTAATCATGCAAACTCTAATTTCAGGGTTTCATTTTAGAGAAAAATTGTTTTTAAAAAAGATAGATTTTTTCTGTTTACCATGAGATGGGACAATTTTTCCATTGTAAGTCTGTGCATGTTCTGTATGCATGTTGTGTGTGTTTGTGTTTGCGCGCGTGCATGTGAGCGTGTGTGCAAGCATGTGTGTGTGTGAGTGTGTGTGTGTGTGTGTGCTGTTTCTTTGAAGTGAGAGACTGAAAGAGACTGACCTTTGCGTTACCTGATTTACCTTAGTTTTTAGTCTTTATTACACTTTTACACACTCATATACTCATATACTTTCATGCACTCTCAAAAATAAAAAATAAGAAGAGTCCCTGTTCTCGCTGCACTTCAGAGAACTCACAGTGAAGTAAACCAAAACAATGCCCAGGTGCATAAAAAGTGAGTTTATGCACCTGGGCATTGTTTTGGTTACTGTCCTGTCAGAACCAAAGTTATAAATGTCACTTGGCTGCCTGATCATTTCTTTCCCCTGATGAACAACAAGCAACATGAAGAGGCACTTCTCTGTAGAGCAGGCTTTAGATATGGTCATGCAGCCTGGACCTTCCAGTGAGCTGCAGGATTCGTCATCTGAGACAGAAACGGCCTCAGAAGAGGAATCGGATGTGGAGTTTGCGGTCGAGTCCGATGGTCCTGCTTCCTCTTCTGATCCTTCACCTGAGACTAAGAGGACACTGAGGATCCTGCTCCTCCTGCCTATAAGTGGGTTTCCAAAAATGGGCAAACCTGGTCTCAGACTAACAGTGAGACTGCCCACTTTGTACCTGATGCCCGAGGTTTGGTGCCAGGGCCCACACGTTATGCCACTTCCTGTATTCACAATGTGGAATCCTCTTTTGACTTATTTTTGACGACAGAAATGATTGACATTATTGTTAGTATCCATCCATCCATCATCTCTACACCTTAATCCTCACTAGGGTCGTGGGAGGCTGGAGCCTATCCCAGCTGACTCAGGGTGAAGACAGGTTCACCTGGACAGGTAACCAGGCTATCACAGGGCTACACTTAGAGAGAGACAACCAAGCCCACTCACATTCACACCTATGGACAATTTAGAATCACCAGTTAACCTCAACATGTTTTTGGACTATGTGGGAGGAAGCAGGAGAACCCGGAGAGAACCAACACTGCACGGGGTGAACATGAAGACTCCACGCAGGAAGATCCCGGGCTTCCTAACGGGACGCGAACCGGCAACCTTCTTGTTGCAAGGCAATAAAGCTAACCACTGAGCCACCTTGCAGCATTATTGTTAGTATGACAAACATAAATGGAGGACATTCAGTGGCTAACTGGAGTGATGTTGACATGACAGATGTGCGGGCCTCCATTGGTCTCCTGACTTTGGCTGGGCTTTATAAGTCAATCTACTCTCTGGGATACTCATAATGGACATGCCATCTTTCTAGCTGACATCCACAACTCTTTCAGTCTCTCACTTCAGAGAAACAGCACACACTCACACTCACTCACACACACACACACATGCTTGCACACACGCTCACATGCACGCGCGCACACACATGCATACAGAACATGCACAGACTTACAATGGAAAAATTGTCCCATCTCATGGTAAACAGAAAAAAATCTATCTTTTCTTACTATTTTTCTCCAGAATGAAACCCTGAAATTAGAGTTTGCATGATTATATTGTGTAATGACTGGGCGTTTAAAAATTGTGATTATAATGGGAGTCAATGGGACATTAAGGGTAGTAAATTAAGAATCTGTCACTCCAAAAAAATAGCAATGCATCAATATCAATTCTATTACTAATTTTATGTATATTTAGGCCTAATCTTTGACAAAAGTCCCCAGCCCTCCATCATTTATTATTTGGAAAATAACTAATTATATCAATTTTTCTTTTCATAAAAACTGTGACTTCATGTAATCAAATGGGCGTTTAAAGGGTTAAATAAATAAAAATTATATGAATGTTTGGCATTTTTGATTACGACAGAAGTTGATTGAAAACTTGGAGCAAAAACAAAGTAGAAAAAATATTAATCTGTTATGTTTTTATAGCAGTTTTTGGGTGAGGACATTTTTGTCCTCTAATATTCTCAAAGGCGGTAAATTAAAGCATCCCCTGAGGGTTAATGTAGCCAAAACATCAGTGCTCTCTGATGATGTTTCCAGCAACATGGTTATATGTTAGAATGAAGTGTTCACATCCTCGAAACTACACCATTACAATTCAAGATGTTAAGTGTTTTATGATTTGACTTACTGGAAATTCATAGAAAAGAGGGTGTGCACTCAGTTGCCCAATTAGAGAGATGGATAGAGATTGATTCAGAGGGAAATTCAAGCATCAAGCAGCCTAAAAATGCAGACAAAATAGCTAGGCATGTAGGAAAATATAACTAAATAGTAAAAAAGACCTAACTTACATATACTGCAAAAATATATAGCTGTAATCAGCAAATACAAGGACTAAAAAGATAGACTGAACAATATTGTAGTGCAATTTTTACAGCCAGCAGTAAACCAACCGTGGTAGAAGTTATAATGTTTACATAGGTAATTGACTTTAGAGTAATTTTATAAGCTGTAGTTTGTGGTGCTGTTCAAATGTGAAGGTTTTAATGTCTTTTGCCGCACTTTTTATATGCTGACTGATTAGGGATGTAGTTAAGAATTGTTGTCTGTCATTTCGTAATTTTTTTAATTAAATATTTGGTTTATAAAATAGTGAAAAATGTCCCGTAAAATATCGGGAAACCCAAAGTTATGCACTTTATCGTCAAATATATCATCATTTTAAGAACTTGAATCACAAGATGTTTGGGAGTGCTGCTCTATAATTGATTTAAGTGATAAAGTTTCATAGTTGTTCATCTAGTAATGACCAATATCTCTGAGATTAATGCAACACAAATGTAGCATTGTTGTGTCAGACTATGTTCTTCTCTCAAAGATGTACTTGACAAACTGATGGCTAGACTTTCCTCTTCTCAGTTATTGTATTTGTTCTGTAAAACTGTAGGCATTTACTGTGTTTAATTATTTACCAGGTTACATTTGACACGTTTTCTTTAATTATATTTATTAGGGATTCTTTCTGGAGATGCTTGACATAAAACTGTTAAAAAGTCTCTGAGTTCACAGGGTCACAACCTTCCATTTACACACAAGTGCTGAATTTGCAATAGCTCCTTCTTCGCATCTCCTCTAATGATTTCTCCAACAGGTGATGATGATGGGAAACTCCAAGATCGCCAGTTTGTTGTTAGAGAAAGGAGCCGACCCCAACGTCCAGGACAAACATGGGATAGCGCCCATCCACGATGCAGCTCGAACAGGGTTCCTCGACACTTTGCAGGTTCTGGTGGAGTACGGCGCTTTGGTAAACATTCCGGACCAGAACGGCACCCTGCCTATCCACATCGCCATCCGGGAAGGCCACCTGGATGTTGTAAAGTTCCTGGCGCCGCAATCCGACCTGAAGCACACGAACATCAGCGGTCAGACGGCGATAGACGTGGCCCGAGCCTCGTGTGTGCCCGATATGATTAACTTGCTTTTTGCTCACATTCACAGTTAGTCAGAAGTCTGGGTGTCTTCCCGGTTACCCTAACCTCACACTTCTTTCTTTGCTTCAAACCTGGTGACTTGAATTCATTGCTGTGTAAAGGATTATTTTTTTTGTTAATAGTGACTCAGCATTAATATGTGACACAGGACATATTGTCTTGGCAGCTTATTTTCAGTGGATGGGTGGCTATATACTGTAGACACCTCTTTTGCACAGTGCAGTTTAGGCACCTTATATATATTCATATATATCTGTTTTCCCTATTAATTGGGAGTGCACATTTGTAGATAGTTTCCCCCCCAGTGTTTTCTAATTATTGCATTATTTCCATTGTGTCAGAATTGTAACTGTTGCTGCATTGTATGTTTGTTTGTTTTTTATTTTACAAAACTTGACATGGTGCACCCTGATTGTTTGCATAGTTGTGTTTCTCTTAATTAGATGTACTTAGACTTTGAATTTGCTCTTATGTATTGTTGGAACAGGACTAAATATGCCTGTGACTTTTGTAAAGAGCAACATTTATTGTGGTTTGTTGAAATGTTATTTATATAAATACTTTTAAAACGAAAGTGAGATTATTCACTTTACTATTTGAAGAAGAAAGCACAAAATAAAGTGTTGAACTTGAAATTATGAAGTATGTTTTTTTTTTCCACTTAATTGTGCACTGAATCTTCTCTACGCTAGGCTACTTCTACCTGGGCTATAGCCCATTGTAACTTAAGTTCTTTCAGTATTGTTTCCTGGAATTTGGAGTCATTTTTGTACTCATGTTGAAAATTAGGCTGTTTTTTTTTTTTTTTTTTTTTTAAATCAATGGGAAAGTATTTAGTGTTTTCCTTTTCTTACTTAAATTTAATTAATGGCAATGAGGAGAAGGTTTTGAAACATGTCTGGCTTATACAAATTATATAAATAGTCACTAATCTCACTCTTTAGTGATATGCAGCAAGTGATAAGAGCCCCTGATAGGATCATGCGACAAAAGTGTTGACAACCACTACTTGAGATAAAAAATCTGTTCACAGTTTAAGTAAATTCCTGCTGACAGTACGGACTTCATGTTTTATAATCTTTATAAAATTCAAAGTTAGCTTATATTATTTTAGTAATGTGAGCCAAAAATAGGAATGTCTCCAGTGAACCAGTAATTCAATCATCTGATGTGTAGTTATATTTTGTGTACTCTGTTTGTGTTAAATACAGACAGGTGACAAATTAAAGGAAAGACTTGAATCTTTGACCCTTACCTATATTAAAGTAATCTAGTCTCTGTGATATACTATTTGGGGATTTTTTGCTGGCATGGCTTGATTCTTCCTGTCAACTTAGAGGGAAGTGTAACTCAGTGTAAATCAGTACAAAGTTGTTCTGACAGTCCCTCCATTCAAAGAGCTTGAGGTGTCAATGAATGGTTTGATGAAAATGATGCAAGTCATATGCTGTGACCTTTGCAGTCACCCAATCTCAACACAGCTGAACCTTTATTTGGAGAGTTAGGACTGACTGTTAAGAGTGTTCTCCACCTGGTGGCTCCACACTGGACATTTTATTTATTTTCCCTTTGGTTTGTTACTTGTCTGTGTGTTTTCATGCACCCTTAAATGCCCAGCGCTTCCCTGAGGTGATTAGTCAAGGGCATTTCTAATAACGCCACAATGGAATGCACGGCACAGTGAAAACCCTCTCAGAGGTCACAATGATAGCTGCGCTGAAACTCAAAATGAATGAGGGCCCTGTTTTGTTGAGGCTTGTAGGTAATGGTAGCACAGTTTGCTGATGTATGTGCTCAGGGCTCTCGTGGTACAATGGGGCATTTTGTTTGCTTGTGCGGCACTGGCCAACTTCACGAGCCAAGAAAGCAGATATAGTTCAAGTACTGTGCTGCCAGTTGACTGTGTGGAGGCCTGCGATGTCAGAAAGATCATGTACGTATGATACTGATTGAAAGACAGTTAAGCACGTTTCAACTGCTGAATTCAACAGGAAAATAAACTTCCTGTTACCTTTGTGATTTACAATTATTGGAAAGTGACCCAAATATTATATTAAAGATCAGTTTTGAGATACTCGACTTGAGTTTTCCAATTTATGTAACTTTATACTCAAAGTTTTTTTCGCCGGTAATACTACTTGTCTGCGCTTACTTAAGCTTTACAATGCAGGATTTCTACCTTATACCTCCTGTTATCTTTGGTGTCAATTTGACCCCAGTCAATGTTTAATGTCTAAATAAATGATTGCCATATTTTTTTCTGTTTTATGTAAAGGGATATTTACACATAAACTTAGGTAACAATTTATGATAATTTTGTGGAGGTTTAAATTGCAGGGGCCACATTGACCCCAAGGATAAAAGATGTCAGTAAATTGAAGGTAATAGGAGGGTTAAATGTAGGATTTTTACAATAAAGTATTGCAACTTTACTCATAAACCACAATCTAGCCACACTATTTGACTTCTGGGGAAATTTTACTGAAGCAGCTCAACTTTAAATGCCTCTTCAAGACCAAAGAATCATTTACTTTCCCTGCCTATATTTTACCAGAAAGTCTTGAGTTTTGAAACAACAATCTTCTGCTCAGAGGTCCATCTTCTGTTCAACCACAAACGGATCTTGTGTAACAAAGACACACAGCTCTGGATAATATTTAAGTATGTTTTCTCACCCTCACAGCTAAATCAGTCACAACAGCGTGATATTGAAAAACACAGCCGCAGACAGACGCAAACAGCCAGCCACTAGGTAGAGCTCAATGACTTCACTGAGCACCAATGTGGGTGTGTTGCAGAATGTGCAAATACTTCCTGATTAAACGCTGTTTGTGGTTAGTTTGTTCTGCAGGTTGCGAGGTACACTGACAGTGACAAGTTTGCATACGACAAGAAAAAAGTATGAGTAGACCAGAAAAACCAGTCATAGTCATATGGACGAGCAAACACATATAGATGTGTGATGATGAAAACACTGGATAGGAAAATTAGGTGTTTGATGAGAGAACTTTTGTTCTTGTCAACAGAAAAAGACAGCGATACGAATGTAGTTTACACTCACAGTATTTAGAGGATGAAGAGATTCTTCACCCCCTACATTTTAGGGCTTGATTAATTGGTTGATTCACAAAAAATGTTTTTGAAGCAAATATACCAAATGTTTGATAGTTTCAAGGAAACAAATGTGTAAATTTGCTCTTTGGATTTTTGACTGGTGGTCCAACAAAAGAAGATAGTTGAGGACATCATGTTGGGCTCTTTTTTTTTAACTGTACTTTGTTGTTTTCTTGACCAGCTAGCTTATTAATTAAGAAAATAATCTGCAAAATAAGAAATAATGACAATTATTAGTTAGGTACAGCTCTAATCTTTTTCTATAATATGTAATGACAAGTTTAAAAGTAATTAAAGAATTTGTCTGTTAGATTGTCAGTCATCCAGGTCATGGTAAGCCTAGAAACTTCAATAAAAAGCAACTTCATTTCTCTTTTAGGTTCTTTAAGGTCTCAAGAACCTAAAAGAAAGTTGAACTGCTTTTAACTGAAGTTTCTAAAATTAAAGAATAGTTTCACATTTTTTCAAGTCTATCGTAACACATTGCTTAGATACCAGTATATACATTGAGAGGGTAACTGGTCGGTTTAATTCTTCCTCCACTATCAGAAATCGGAGAGGCAGAGTGTTCAGAGTAAATCAAATTCCTTCAGTTTTTTTTAGTGTGAAATCTGTGTTTCCATTTTAAGTCTTGCTGAGTCCCCCAACATCAACTTGCATTTAGGCACGTGGGTGTGATTGAGTTCCCATTCATCAGCACACTTCCACATCAACTGATATTAAAATAGTAAGAAGCTTTTTGTGAGTGACGAACCTTGACACAAACTTACTGAGTGAAAAAATGTGGTCAAATCCCAAACGATGAGCCACTGTCATCTATAACATGCTCTGTTGGGCTCTATTTAATTAAATCAAACTCACAGCCTGCAGGAACTGAATCTTAACTTGCCCAACTTTGGAATAAGTAAAACTTCTGTTGCTGGAAGACACTAAATAGTCACATATTTCAGATGTAAATCCTGCAACCAAATCTGATGGCACACGGTGGCAGCATTACACTCCCCCACACCTTCAATCAACAACTTAAAGCAAGATTATTGGAGACACAACATGTTAGTTATTTAAAGCCAAGTCTGTGCCACAATGGAGCAATCACATCTGTTTTGGTTAATGCTGGTGATACACTTGACTGTCAGCTTGAGTGAGGGGAAAGGAAACAGAGAAAAATTTTTTACAAAGAATTAAGACATTCAGGTCCTACTGTGCAGCTTCTTTCTTTATCTCTTTTAAAAAGAAAGAAAAAGTTCTAAATTCTCCTCAAACATAAAATATAAAAGCAAAGAAAACACACAGGTTTTTCTTATGAGGTGTAGGCAGGCCAGTATATACTTGAGTATCACAGAGGTATGTCCGTACACTGAGTGACAGGATCCCATTTTAGAGCTGTGCAAGTCAGAACATGACTGTACTGCAGTTCAGTGGCAGAGGAGAACACACTGTTATGTCTGTGTGAGCTTTTAGACACTGGTACACAGAGGCAAGAATGGGGTAAGAAAGAAAGAATGCAGAGAGAAAACATGCATTTGTCTGTAGGAGACAAACACAAAGAATTTGCAAGTGAAATGTTTCCAATTCAGAAGCAACAAGTACTGTGCTAAACCTAAGGACTAGAATGACCTACAGTTTAGCAAGACTAAGTCTGAAGCCAGTTTATTCCTTTGTTTCAGTTTGTTTCTCTATTTTCATTTGCATGAAGTTATTATATCAGCAGAGAAATAATCCATCCATCCATTATCTATACACCGCTAAATCCTCACTAGGGTCACAGGGGGGGCTGGAGCCTATCCCAGCCGACTTAGGGCGAAGGCAGGGGACACCCTGGACAGGTCACCAGTCTATCGCAGGGCTACACTTAGAGACAGACAACCAAGCACACTCACATTCACACCTACGGACAATTTAGAATCACCAATTAACCTCAACATGATTTTGGACTTGTGGGAGGAAGCCGGAGAACCCAGAGAGAACCCACGCTGCACGGGGAGAACATGCAAACTCCACGCAGAAAGATCCCGGTGCCCCCACCGGGACATGAACCGGCGACCTAGCAGAGAAATAATGTGCAATAAAATGAGCAGAATATTGTAGGGAAATGAGTGTCTTATTCCTTTAATTGTCTGGAAGTGATACTCTGTTTCCTCCATATTTCACTGTAAATGTTTAATTGTGCTGAAGAGTTAGTAAAAAATAAAATAAAATAAAACAAAGACACAACGTACATTTTAGGGAAGCCATGAATTTGTTAAAGTGTTGAAAGAAATACGTTACTCATCCAAGAAGCATCTCAAAGACAATAGTCTTATCTTCTTTCTTGCTGTAAATGATTAATAATTGTCTACAAATAAGCACACTGAATATCACGCTGAGTTGGATTCATGATTTCATGTATGAACTCATTCTTCCCTCCATTCGACCGAACATGTGAACACATGGATGAACACCTTTTATTTAACTACTGAGACGCTTTTTTCACAAAAGGGAGCAGCATGAGCCACCACACTGTGGGAAACACTTCTTCATGCTGCACAAACCTGTCCAGCAACATACAGGCCAAAACAAACAAAATACAAGTTTGAGTGAAAAATGTTCAACCAGAACATTTGAAGGTCAAAGCTTACTCACTCTGTTGAGAGCCAAGCCCTTGTTTCACCCACACATACTAGTAACTTGACCCTAAAAGGAAGCTATACCTTACTGTGTGATCTACACCAGCAAAACCAGCTACATGAAAACAGTTGTACAAAAAATATTATGTATTTATACACCTACAGACTTTGTAAAACATTAGTTTTAAAAAAAGGTATTTTGAGCAAAATGCATAAAAAATGTCCTACTCGATTGTTCATTCATCGACAGAGTTGAACATATGTTTCATGATAACGTATCTTTTGTTTGGTTTTGGTTATAGTTTGACTTTTTGTTTTGTTTTATGTGAAAATTCCACCAATTTGCCTTAGTAGTCTGTTTTTGCTGTGCAAGCCAGAACACCATCAGCCTCCAAGACAAATCTCTCACAAGCCTAAGCTCTACAAACTCAGCTTTGAATCAGCTTGTTTCGTACATCTAACGGCAACAGATCCAGCAGGTTGTCTTCCACTGTCAGCCCACTGTGACTCAGCAGGGGACAATCCCCAATCTCCAGTGGTAGAGACTCCAGACGGTTTCCTTTAATATCCAGTCGAACCAGCTGGGCCAGGTTTGACACTCTAGAACTAAGATATGACAAGCAGTTGTTACCGAGAACCAGTGTTTTTAGCCTTTTACAGGAAAACAGCTCCTCTGGCAATGTCTCTAAAGAGTTGAAAGCTGCTGAGAAGAACTGAAGGCCCTGCAGGATGCTCACTTCAGAAGGGAGAGAGGTGAGCTGATTGTGGGAGACATCGAGGTGTCTGAGTTTGGTGCAGTAGAACAGCCGAGAGGGAAGCTTTCGTAGCTTGTTCCAGCTCATGTCCAGGGTCTCCAGAGTGTGCAGCTTACTGATATGATCAGGGATGTAAGCGATTTTGTTGTGCCACAATCGGAGCGTTACCAAACGCTGGCAGTGCTGTAAGCTCAGAATCTCCTCCACAGTGCTGAGTTTGTTTTCCTTCAGGTCCAACTCCTGCAGGTTGCTCAGGCTGAAGACAGCACTTGGGATGCGCTCCAACTCGCAGCCCACTAACTCCAATGAAATGAGGTTGGTTAACTTCTTCAGGCTGCTAAAAGCTTGGAGCTTGGCACCTTCGTTGTAGATGCACAACCGCTGCAGCTGCAATGCAATATCCCCTACGCTGGGTGGGATCTTGGTAAGGTTGGAGCGAAGGGTGAGGACACTCAAAGATCTCAGCTCGCGCAGGGAGTCCAGAGTGGCACTTTTGGACACCTCATTGGTTAGAGGACCGCTCAGATGCAGCTCCTCCAGGCCATGTAAGATGTACATCCACACAGGCACCTCTTCTAAACTTTCAAAAGCTAAACGCAGAACCTTTAGATGTTCCTTGAGGTGGTTCAGGGCAGGGAGCTGGAGCTTTGCAGGGGAGTAGATCAGTGACAACTCCTGAAGAGAGTCCAGTTTTGCCACACTGTGTGGGATGGTGACATTGTTAACTTGCTCCAGTTTGAGCGACTCCACTTCAGTTAGCTCAAAGACTGTATCAGGAAGCCCTGGCAGCATTAACAGGTGGAGCTCCAGACGGTTACTGGAGTTCTTGGTGAGACGAGTGCGCAGCTTTTTGTCGGTCCACTCATAGTTGAGGTTAAGCTGATGGAGGCGACTCTCACTGACTTCAGATAGAAAGACGGCAAATCTTTTAGAGTAAAGAGAATCATATTGGTCCACAAGGTGCAGGAGGAAGGCAAAGTCATTCTTCACATCTGGTATGTCATTAATACCAGTCTCCAGTCTGACCTGGTCGAAGGAGTACTCCTTCAGAGGCCGATGGAACAACCAGTAGAGCGTGTAGATGCACAGAATACCATACACTCCCACGAAGCAGATATAACAGTAGGCAAGTTTGGAGAAAAGATGGGCTTTGTTGTGGTTGCAGCAATAGATGTCAAAACCAGTCAGCTCAGGAGGAACATAACAACGCACAACTATCTGAATGTACGGTACCAGCACTGCAGTGTAAACAATGATCAAAAGGAACTTGAAGACTTTCAGTGATGTTTGTAGCACATACATGTGATACAAGATGTCTGCCTCCTCTACGTGAGTTCGGAGCTTCTTCACCTTTTCAAAAAGAGCTTTGGCCTGCTCCCCTTCCTTCTTATCCAACAAAGAGGGGGAAGACTGAGGCTCTGGACTTTTCTTTTCTGGATTAGACTTGACAGAGGAGGAGCGCATAAGAAGCCCTCCGGCCTCCTCTTCGTCTGGTCGTCGTTCTGTGGAATCTTTTGACATGGTGTTCCTCCTCCAGCTGACCAGCTTCTCCTCTCCTCGCTCCTCAGAAACTTCACTCAGGGCCCTCGTGGTCCAGGGAGAGTCAAAGCACTTTCCAAGAATGGTGACAAAGAGGTCAATTTTAGAAGATGTCCCAGGGAATTTGAACCAGAAGCTGCTTGCCACCATGAAGATCATAGTGTGGATCACAACCAGGTACGGGAAGTACTTGGCAAACCAGTGGACAAACCTCTCATAGCAGTAGTGGTTGACGAACACGTATTGGTGAATGTCCAGGTTGTTCTTGCGACCGAACACCTCCTGGATGATGGGGCTCCCAGGGGTAACCAGCGTATACTGTGCCGTCACGTTCTCCCTGTAGGTCCGGATGTAGCTGCAGTCAATGGCCTCAGGTGTTGGGCTGGTGAAGGGGCTGGGCAGACACGAAATTTTGTCTTGGGTGAGCTGAGGAAAACAAACGAATGAAAGAATAAATGAGGTGGGAATAAGAGGGAAAACAATGGAAATGTGTGATAATGCATTTTCCTAAAATCACAAAGCAATTTGTTGTGCTACTTGTCAAAAAGCACAAGATACCAACAACAATATCTTCTTGTGTATGGATGCTTAATCTGCTATTTACTGTGTATTAACAGGTGACAAATTACAGATGAAACCTCAAATGTAGGCATAAACATCACTTTATATTGTAAAAGATATTGGAACAAAACACTACAAGGCTTTGTAGGACCTATAGGGCCTATAGAAAGCATGAGAAAATATTAGAAACTTTTAACACCTGGAGATATTTTGTTTTATGGAAACTAAACTCAGTGCTTTAATGAAAGATAATGCATGAATTTATCTTTTTATTAATAATCTCACAAATGCTAACTTCCCTGTTTCTTCAGCCTGGATTTTTGTTGGTAAAGTTACCTCATCTAAACCTTCAGTGTTGTCTCTGTGATTCCTATCAGCAACAGTTACACCCCTGATTCAGCAGAGCTTGCGGTGGCCGTCGATGGTGTACTGTTTCAGACAGCTGCCTCGGGTCCAGTTTACTGGTCTTTTCATGGATGTTATCCCTGAACTCCACCTCTGTCGCCACTATTTACAACTAAGCTAAACGTTAGTAGACTTATCACAATGTTAGCAGGCAAATACATGGTACTTACTTTTGTTATTTAATAAAGCAACATTAATAACTTTCTGTCAGCAAAAGAGTCATTATCACTGAATAAATATGAAATCCTTTGCTTTACTTTTGTGCTATTTTAATATGACACAGAAATGATGGTGAGAGACACATTAAGCTGCGAGTTAGTGAGCTCAGTGTGCAGTAAGTGGGTCAGGGGAGACGAGTATTACAGTTATATTGTCTGTGTTTTCGCCTGACTTGGAGGTCAGATGGTAAAGCTGTGGCATGTGCCGCAAAAAAGAGAGGAAGGCGTATGAGGGAACAAAATATTCCATCAGGTAAAGCCACAACTGCTACAAATTAAGCATATTAAGTTCTGTTTACATCCACAAAAACTTATGATCCCACAGTGGCAGTCTGCAGACGCCTCACCTGCAAGGTGCACCCAAAGACTCCGAGCATGAGCATAGCAATGCACAGGTATTCTGAGAAAACATCCCACCACGGTTTCAGGACCCGAAGCTTCGAGTTCTGCTCTGTGCCGAGGTTTCTGAATTCACCCACTGGGATCATCCTGGCTGCCGCTGTACTCTGATGAAAGGAAAAAAAGAGAGGCTTTGAACAGTGAGGCTAAAATAGGCTTTCAACACAGTGCAGCCTCCGGAGAACATCTTGGCAAAGGTTTTTAAAGTTGTATGACATGAAAACACACATGTTGTCACACAGAGGACACAGCGCTCTGAGGGTAAATACCTAGGTGTAGTATATGGACGGTGACTACTACCTGGAGGTATCTGTGGCTTTGAATGAATGAAAGGAGAGGCTCCTCCTGCACTAAAACCTACATTCAAAGTGGACAAACTGGTCTGACAACAAGAAGTGACTCTCAAAAAGTGACTCTGCTTTGGAAAGAGCCCAATGAAATTCTAATGACATTTTTACCTCAGAAATAGTTACAGGAAATAAATGAAATCATACAAAGGCTCAAATAATAGCACTACACTGGAATTAGTTAATTATCCTGTTTAATTTCTAGTGTTGTTTACTACTGGCACTCAGGTAAACAAATACACAAACCACGAGAGCAAACTTTATGTGGGTTTGTTTGTTCCATTTACTACTTCTTCTACTCCTTCTCTGTTAATGTTGCTATTTCCTGATGATTCAAAGACTTTCAGCATGTCATCATAACAAGAGCTGGACTTTCTAATAACAAAATCACAGAAATCTGTAGTCACATGACCATGATACCTACCTACCGTCCATTCACTTGAAAGTCCTGAAAATAGCTTCGCTTCGTCTCAGAAGTCAGTAAAGTCACTGCAGGCGTCAGCCAGGTGAGTCTCGGCTACCTGCGTGTGAAGATGGTGTCCAGTGGGAGTGTTTGTTTCATCACCTGAGAGCAGCATTGGTGTGAAGGCAGCGGCAACCGACACAGAACATCCGGACAAGACTTTCAGCATAAACCCATCCACGGGCCACTTTCACATTTTACAACTTTACTAATGAACATGAACAGAGACGAATTAACTAATTCATTTAAAGAGCTGCAGTTTCTCCAGTGTCACTGTTTATCTCCAATTAAAAAAAACAAAAAACAAAACAAAAAAAAAAACACAGATAGAAAAATAATAGTTGTGTTTTGTACCACACTGTAAAAAATAATAATAATAAAAAAGTTTTTGACTTAAAAAAAAATAAAAACCATTTTTCCCTCTTATTTATAGATTTAAAAACAAACAAACAAAAAAAAAAACCCTACAGATAATAACTATTAAAATCACAGAACATTGCTTCCCACATTAACCATGGAAAAAGAATTAAAATATGGGCCAATGTTTGACTAAAATCTAATAAGCTCCACAATTTTTAATACTGTATTTAAATAATAAAAATACAGTTATTGTATGGATTATCCCTGTTTTATTAAATTACAAACATAACTAGTAAAATCTCAAATTACATATACAATAATAATAAAATTAAGTCAACCTTTAAAAAAAGGAAGGCAAAAGCTGTAAATAATAAATAAATGTAATAATAATAATAATAATTACTGTACTTAAATCTGAAAAAATGTACTTTACAGATATGTCCCTCCTCTGAAAAAAAACATTATATATATATATATATAATTAAAATATGCAAATGGTATTTTTTTTAAATAGTATTTTACAGATTTCCCCAGTTATAGTAATTACCTTTTTTCAGTGTGTGATGGCAAAAAGATATCATTTAATGTTTATTGCTATATAAGGCAATACAGCTCTTGAAATCCCTTTTTAAAGGTATTTTTCTTTTCTTCAGATGTCTTTTTCTCTAATTCCCTCATTTTTAATGTAAACTCTTTTTTTCAGGCTCTCTAGGTTTTAAAAAAATGTCTTGCTTTTTCTACTCTTCTGGATATTTCTGACAAGTTGAGATGCAAACACAAAGTATTTGGAGTACTTTGTTCATTATTGTTCCTTAGCAAAGGCAGCTTCAAAGATTTGGAACAGCCCTCCTCCTTCCATCAAAAGTTCCTCTGACGACTTACATGTTTTCAGTTGTTTCTGAATGATCATAATATTTTGATTTTGGACTGTTTTTCTGTTTTGTTTTGTTTGTTTTTTTTGGCTTGCTTTTGATTTTGTATTTATTTTATTTTGCCTTAATACTCCAAGACCATGTCTTACTTTTTGCACAGATTTTAGTATCTGATTGTCTTATTATAGCTAAAGCACTTTGGTCAACTCATGTCTGAAAATGTACTATATAAATTAATTTGATATTAATTTTAGCAAATCTGTTCAAGTGTAAGATTTCCTCTTAGACACTAAGAACCACATTCCTACCAAACAACACTGACTAGGACATAGTGCATGTCACCTTGGCATGTTTCACAACCAAACTACTATTTTATATTGTATTAGTGTGTCGCATGGAGATACTGAGGTCCTGATGGTGGATGTGGGTGTTGTCCAACAAACTTAGGGGCCTGTGAAAGAATAAATATGTTCAAAATATGTTGAAAGGTGCTTTTTCCTGCAGAGCACAGAATGTTACACTTTTTCTTTGTTCGGGACTGCCGTGGCCTCTCTATGTTTGGTGGGATTATGTCTTGATACTTTAGTTCACATAACAGGGGAAGTTTTCCTCTTGGATAATATTAGAATGGTCTACATCATCTACCTGCTGGGTTCAGCCAGGAAATTAGACGTGTTGGTGGATGTCATGGGTGGTCGACTAAAGAAACACGAGCTACAAGTTTAGACTGACTGAAAATCTGAAGAGAAATGTCACTTCACCTATTGGCATTTATATCTATAGTGAAACCTAAACTGGTAATAGCACATTTAATTTAAATGTGGTAGTAAAATGCAACAAGGAAACTTTTATTCAGTATAAAGGAGCTTTTGCGCCCCCGAGTGGCCACTGCTAATTTGGAAACTTGCATAACCATAAGTGCACATTTCTTAACACACAACATCAGATAGATGTGGAATGTTTTTAAAAGTCCACATATCAGAAACGACAAATTAATACAGGACTACAGCAGTACAATAAACATATATTTTACTTTACAATGTATTATTGTACAGGGTTTGTTTTTTTTTCTTGCTGAAAAAAATGTACAAAGCCAACTACTGACTGAACAGGAAAAAAAGTCCCTTTCAAGGTGAAGCAATGTTTTTTTTGTTTTGTTGTTGTTGTTTTTTTTTTACAAACATCCAAAATCAGCATCAACAGGCATTCCTACTTAGTTACAATGCATGCTAGTTATTCAAAAACACTACACCAGAATCCAATTAAGTACAAAGCTGATGTCAGTTTAGAGGAACAAGAAAATCAAAAAGGATCTGAACAAATAAATAAAAAAGTGAGCTCTAAAATTCTGTACAAGACTTCTTAGAATATCAATGTACAAAACGTCACTTAAAAACTTTTGTAGCTTAAATTGCTGTTACAAATACATTTCTTTAAGCAAGTTTTTTTTGTCATTAGCACAAACATGGTCACTTCTGTTTCTGAGGTCTCGTGGATGTGAAAACCAAAAAAAAAAGAAAAAAAAGAAAAAAGTACACTGCAGGTGGGAGGTTTTCAGTTCTGTCAGTAATTAGTGTTTTTTTTGTTGTTGTTTTCTTTTTTTTAAATAAAAAAAACACATTCAGCTAGATGCTTGAATCCAAATTTGAAAATGCTACAGTGTTCTGTTTGCTCTAACACAGTCAAAACTCGTTTCTTCATTTTGTTGCCGCTCCACACACCGGATGAGTCTCTCCGATAGCCTCAGATATTTCTCTAAATTTTACCATTTTTACAAACCTATCAGTGACAATTAGACAAGTCTGTTACCATGCAGTTACTGCAAAGCAATGCATCTCTTGTACCAACACTTACAATCTGAGACAATAGGCCTCATGCAAGAAACGCATGTATAAACACATTTGTTCTTATGTCCACTTGCACAAGTTAGTTAAGAGTGATACAGGTTGAAATTTCTTAAGATCTAGCATTGATCTTGTTACATTAAACGAAGCTAGACCACCTGCTGCTAAAGAAATATACACTCAGTTGCCAGTTTATAATAAGACACAACTAAATAAAACTAATGCAGTTTGAGAAAACAGTCATGCAATGAATCCTACTATTATGAAGGTTATAAAGCCTGATTTCTGTTGGAACTGTTGTAATGATTCAAGCTTACAATCATTTTAGAGGCTGCAGTTTGTGATGCTGTTGAACTATACTATATAGCTATTATTTTGTCCACTCTATTTATATCTGAGATAAAATTAGGCTAAGCAACCAAAACACCTGTGAGCATACTGTTACCATTAAATGGTTTTAACGAAAAATGACATTTCAAGCATCATGAAAGCAGGACTTATTGCAGGACTGTTGTACTAGAGTGTGTTAGTCACAACTAGATGGACCTACCAATATGGCAACTGAATGTCATGTTCCCTCAAGTGCAAACTCCCATTTTAGTCCTGTATGAGAGGCAAAAGGGCTTTTTTCTGAAACAAACTACTCACTCCTGTTATCTTTCAGTGCACTCATATGACTACAGTCACTTCTTTGTTCTGTGATTTTCAACACCACTTTGAAGTTGGTTAGTTCAAATTTAGTTTCTTTTTTACGCATGAATTCTGACTTTGTGAATGACACTTAAAATAAGTGAAACACATAGGGCTGTAAAACTAAAAAGAGTAAGAGAGGTTTTGGATGACCTTGCATGAGGCCCATTGTCGTGTATGAGCTTCATCTTGTGGCTTTCTGGGTTGCCTTCACCATTCACTACACACTGCACAGTGAGTCAGGCTGTGCCTCTCCAACACAAGCACCTCAAGACAATATACTGATAACAGTAATACCCGCAGGCATTGTAATGGCACTTTGTACTCTACTGCCTATACAGACAAATGCTACTTTTTTTTTGGACTTGTTTACAGAATCTGATTATTTGAAGTATTTTGCTCTCCAATCAGATTTATCTTCTGCTCTTTAAATATAATTAAGAGCTCTTGATGACTCTTTGAGCCAATAAACTGACCTTTTTAGTATGCAGCCCTTTCCCTCAAACCTGGTAAATCACGGTCTGACTGAGGGCTTTAAATGCCAAATCTGAATGCACAGACAGAAAGACTCAGATTTGAATGGACACAATCTACTGGAAATTGGACTGCGTGGGGGGTCATACTTGATTTGTATAGTTCAGTGCTGATACTCAACTTAAGTTGCTTTTTGTCACCTTATAGTTGAGCATCAGCAAAGCATTAAAATAAAATACTACAGATCAGTGAGGCAGCAAGTGGTGTTTCAGCCCACCTCTGTCTCTGATGACTTGTGAGGGTCCTTATTCTTATTTGGGAAGACAGAGTTGAGTTTTTGTGGTGCTCGTCTATGTATGCGAGTGTGTGACAGGGTTGAGTGACGAGCTTCATGTGCCTTTGCCGAAGGGACCGCCGTGCGGCCGATTGTGGTGAAAGTTGGCTGACTGGTAGAACAGTGACGCCGCACCGCACTCGCTCTCAGAATTCTGACACTGTGGCAGGTCCTTCTGGCAGGGCTCCATGGTAACAGCCACGCCCACACCGCTCCGCCCTGACGTCATGTGCGTCACCTCTGACCAGGTGTCCTGCTCTGGGTCGTAGCATTCCACGCTGTCCAGGAAAGTGTTGCCATCATAACCGCCTGTAAGCATAATGTTAACATTGACTTTAGTTTTGGATTACGCACAAACCTGGTTCACAGTGTACACCTTGCCTTGTCAAACAGAACATTAATAATATGACAACATAGTAATATGTGTGCCAGTTCCCAGGTCATGAATGGACTAACGGACATTTAATAATGACAAGCGATAAAGATGTCTTTTAATTTAAGTCATACCATTCCTTTGAAGTCAACAATGACTCCTAGCTTACAGGTACACATCGATTCTACAAGGAAATCCTTTATTAATATAAAAGTTAGTGAGAGCTAAAAATAAAATAGTTTAGTTTTTAGTGTTATTTTTCTCACCCTGAGCCTGAGGAAGAAAAAAAAATAACACTTGCACTAACATTGTTGTGTCAATAAATCAAGAATTATAACTCCTGTCTAACATTGCCCACAAATTCTAATAAAAGTTTTTTATATTACAATGTTCGAATCAGCTCATGATTAATTTTGCTTGCAATACAGGAATGAACATTTGGAAGACTTAATATGATCAGAATATTTAGTATTGTGCAATGTTTGACTGACAATTGTCTATGAAAACATAAAATTCCTTTTTTATTTTTTTTAAATATAAAATGTACAAAATTGTCTTTAAGGTTCAATGATTTCCTTTTTGGTAGCTTTCAGCACAAACTGAGAACAGACTGGCTTCAAAGAAAAAAATAAAACTGCTTGTTTCATGGGCAACATCTCTGTATATACAAAATTTAACTAAAACATTTTCTGAACAATATTAGAAAAAAACTGTTTGACATTAGCTGGACTAACAATGGTTATTTTGTCACTACCCCAGTGTCCAATTCAAAGGTGGAACATTTATGGTACTAAAATTTAAATACAGCACAATAACGACAGAAAAAATTAGTTCAAACTTTTGGAATTACCTGCATTTATACATAAATGTGTCTAGAAAATCTGGTCAGATGTTCACCTAAGCTGCAACTATAAAAACACAATCTGTTTTAACCAATAACTTACAATTCATATTGAACATGCCCCTACGCTAACGATGACAAAAGCTAACTGGACAGGATAAATGTAAAGTAACTACAATGTAATTCCTTAATTACTTTAGTCTGGTGCCTTTGTCTCAACAGGTAGTTTCTAGTTACACTACTACTCACCCAGTACATAGATGCGTCCATGTAATGCAGTGACCCCCAGAGCGCTGCGTCTGTGCCTCATTGAGGCAGCAAAGCTCCACGTATCAGTTTCTACATCGTAGCGCTCCACTGTGTTCAGCTGGTTGGTGCCGTCGTATCCACCCATCACAAAGATGTGATTACCCAGTGCACACACACCTAAAAAAAGGTAAAAGGTTAGTTTATTAAAATATTCAATGATTTAATCTAGATATGGGCACAATCTGTGAGTTGGTGAAACACCCACAAGAATAACTTGTCTCTTGTACAAATTTCTGTTGTTATGACTGCTATTATTGTCAAAAATAATACAAATAAGTATATATTTATATGTAAACTAACTCATAACATAACTCCAGCTCAAATTTGGAGTTAAAATACATTAAGACAAACCCCACTCTGGCATTCTTCCTCCACTGCTACGACAATTGTCTACAAAGCACAGATACTGTTCTCTTCATCATGGAAGCACTATATTAAGCCAAAATATCACAGAAAAACACAAACTGAAATTCATGTAGCATTGCTGTTGTAATCTTGATAGTGTTGTCTTGGATTATTGTTGACAATCTCTGAAAGTGCATCATTTTCTTAAAAAAAGTTATTAGTGAGTGCTAGTTGTCACGCTAGCCAGCTTCATGTGACCCACTTCCCCTTCATAGATTGGTTGTGCTTTTAGTTAACCTTGACTCTGACCTCTGGTCATTACTGTGCAGATCCTGGCTGCAAAATACATCATCAGCATGTGTCAATGTTGAGATTTTTAGCTTCCCTTCTAGTGAACTGTCATGCAGTTGGTCTTTATGTATGGTCTATGAGTTGACATTGCAAGATTAATATAGTTCTATCTGGCTACTTTTTTGGCATTTTAAATTTGATTTGAAAAAAAACCTAAAAACTATGCTATGACATGCAACTAAAGTTTTCTGGCAGGAATTAAATCTGACAATAGAGTTACATAGCATGTGTCCTAACCACTGTCTGGTTTAAATACTCCATAGACGTCATTAACACAAACTGGGTGGTCTGCTGAAGATTAAAATCACAGATGGGAACTTGTACGACCATTTGTGTAACTGTCCAAGCTGTTGTCCATTTCTTCCTTACCAGCTCCGGAGCGCACAGTGTTCATGGGGGCCATGGTTTTCCACTCATCCCGCTCAGGGTTGTAGCATTCACAGGAGCTGAGCCGGTTGGCCCCGTCAAACCCCCCGACAGCATAAAGCAGCCGGTTGATGACCGCCACACCCACACCGATACGTCGTGTTAGCATTGGGGCTACCAGCTGCCACTGGTCCCTTTCTGGATCATACCTGTAGGAGATAAGAATATTTTAACTTTATTTCTATGGTTTATTCCCCCGTTTTTCTTAGCCAACTAGCACAATTACTCAATGCTGTGTCAAAGTAAAGAGCTCATGAACCCCAAGATAAATGAACAGCTGCTGGAACCATGCAGCACAGATTTAGTCATGTCATTTCTCAGAATCTGTAATTTACAGTTCTGATGTGGTAAGTCACATGTCTTTCATGATATTGTGTGATCATTCAGACTGGTTTTGCGTGTTCCTCTTTCAAAGATATGTTGTTTGCCTGGTTAAAATGTTCTATCTGAGTGACACATCCAGCATTAAAAATGAAAAATATTTATATCATTTACTGTGTTAAAGGCAGCCTGCATGATTAAGGGTTGTGACACACATCTATGTCTTGATTAAACTCATACCTACGCAAATGATAAATACATTTAAGACTTGTAGGATAGGTTGATGGGCTGGGTGCTTGAAATTTATGTCACCATTTGCTCAGTGTCCAGACTGATTGTCAAGAAGCTGAACAATCAAAAATACATTTCACAGGAGTGATTTATAAACGTCTGTCAACCAGGGTTGGAATTAACAAGTGCTGTTTTTTTTTCTTCCTCAGCCTGAAGGTGAGAAAACTAACACTAAAAACTAAACTATTTTATTGTTTAGCTCTCACTAACTTTTATATGAATAAAATATTTCCTTGTAGATTAAAACATTCTCATAGTAGTTTTGTGAGAACTAAAAATGCATTGCAGGAAATGAAACATAATTAATTTCCAGGAAGTTATCCAATTTCTTTTCACGGGCAATGCATTACTAAACACAATAGACAGTCAAGAACAAGTCTGTGCTGTAATTGTCCTCTGCTAGACTTTGGTCACGTTATTGAATCAATACACTATGGGAAACCACATAAATTTAAACATATTAAAAGTCAAATCATTTTAGAACAATGGGGTTGAAAACAAATCACTAACAGTGCACTTAAGCAGATGTACCTGCAGGTCCTACAATAAAACAGAATGTGGCAATGAAGACCACGCTTTAGATCAGAATAAATTCTGAATCGGCTTTAGTCTCTTCAAGGGAATTGCTGAAGGTAATAAAAAATAACAGCAGCATTTTTAATTAAATGCCCAGTCTGCTTACCTTTCCACACTGTTGTGATGAATGCACCCATGCGATCCACCAACTGCATATATCATGCCGTCGATCACACCAACTCCGATTCGGTTCCTGGGCACGCTCATCGGTGCACACGGCAACCAGCAGTTGTTCATAGGATTGTAGCAGTCCAGAGCATTTGAGTCCATGTTGCCATCAGGTGCATTGTTTCTTCCACCAACAGCATAGAACAGTCCACTGATCACACAGGCTGCCAGGCCACTGCGGGGCACCTGCAGGTCAGCTAGCCTCAGCCAGGCTCCGGTACAGGGGTTGTAGGCCTCCAGGTAGCTGAGAGACTGACGGAAATAACCCCCTGCTGTGTAGATGAGCTGCGGCACCTTAGGAGTTCTGCAAGAAATTACTTTGGTTGGTTTGTGGAGGGTGAGGTCCTGGAAGATCTGGACCAGGTAGTCTTTACACTCCGGGTCCCAGTCCAGAGACTGGAGTTGGGCCTGCAGGAAGTTAGGGGTGAGGGAATGGCAGCGGACAGCCTGGAGTAGGGCCTGAACGTAGGGTCGCCGGTTCTCCTGGTCGTAGCGCACCCAGGCCACACATGCCTGGAAGACTTCGGACTCACAGCGCACATTGAGCTCATCGCGGCTGATGAGGGTGACCAGCTGGCAGTGGGATAAGTTGAAGAACTCTTCCTGGGTTGCTACCTGGAAGCAGGAGGGTAAAGTTGTAATAACTTTTTATAATACATAAAAGTGCTGAGCTCTAATAAATTAAATATACACCAGAAAATAAACGTATACTCATGTATCTACTCGTTAGTCATGAAACTACGTGGTGTAAAGTAAGACAAAATTGAAATTTAAACAACAATGTTGAGGAGACTACAGTTCAGAGTAGGGCTGCTTCGAAGGATTATGTTCATTATTAATTATTCTGATGATCATTTTCTCTATAAACAGACTTTTGGCAGAGTCTATAAAATAACAGAAACTAGTAAAACATGACAATCACAATTCCTCTATGCCAAAGGTTTTCAGACTGTTTTGTCTGAATAAAAGTCAAATACTCAAACAGATTTGCTTAACTATCACATGATAAATAAGAGCAGCAAATCCAACACTGGTGACGCTGGAACAAACAAATTGTGGGCATTTCTTAGTTCCAAAATACGTGCAGATTTGTTTCAGCCAACACAGTAATCAGTTAATCATGTAATTGTCATTTCTGTTAGGCTTGTTTTGATCAAAAACATCACTGTCAGTAAACAGTGCCTGAAGACCGTTTAAGTAAATCCAAATCTTGCCAAAATTAATCTCTGTATGTGCCACTTTTGTCAAATGTTAATCTTATTCAGAAGACAGAACACTAAGGTTCATTTAAACCAATGCACAAGCCAAATACCCAGGAAGTCTGGCTTCCAGCCTTGAGAGTCATAATCTGTTTTAAACTATATCTTTCGAGAGGCACACATTTATCAAATGCTAGATTATTTGTATATTATTCTACCTTTTAGAAATACAATGCCCTATTCACCTGTGTTTACCTCATTTCCTTAATAAAACACATAATGAACTGCAACATTGACAGACATATGACACATCTTTGTCTGAAACTTGACCTGTCTTTGTTTGTCTGCCTTATCAGCGTATCAAAGATCAATACTAACAGTCATATCATTACTTTTGTGTTGCACTGTACTGGCATCCTTTGCAGTCAGGTATGCTCCAACCACAGGTAAACCCACACACAAGTCAGCGTGACTCATAGCTTGCATTCTCATTGCACAAAGCCACAGGTCTAAGGCGTAAAAGTCAGCCAGCAGAAACCACAGTAGAACAAGCAAAAAAAGAATTCACTTCACCATGAAACACTTTACACACAAACAGCTTGGTTGAAAACTTGCTCTACATACAAAAACTCAGTCTTTAGTTTCAGTTAAAAGCTGTGCAACTACATTCATAATGCATCATGATGAATTCATATCTTCCTTATGTTACATTATTATGACTTAAGCTGCTGAGAGTTTCTGAATGAGCATGTGATGTCCTCAGAGTATGAGGAACCAATGTTTTCTTTCTGACTGGCAATAATCTTGATATGATCTGAACTAAGAGCTTTCTATATATCTAAGCAGGGAGAATCAACTGAATAGTGCCATTAAAATTGATGGGCAACTTATTTGCCACTAAATAGCAATTACATTGTTGGAAGAAGTTTTTTTTACATTCATGTGCACCTGACTGCTGCCCCTTCTGTTTTTAACAACAGGCAGCTAGACAATTTTTTTCTTGTGTAAGTGAGTACAGTCCTGTTCAATACATAATCTCCATCAGCAGGGACTTTCACTGCAAGTCAGCCCCGTCCCTTGGTCTCCCTCAATACATGTGTTCTTACGCTTTCAAAGTTCAAATAGAATTACAAAAAATATTCTTAAAAATGAACCAAAAGGCCTTATGATTATAGACTAAACAGCATTCATTAGAAAATGTGCCTTAAGCCTTACCTGGCTGAAGTTCATATAGATGTATTCTCTGGCCTTCTGGTGGAGCTCTGTGCAAGCAATCTGCTCTGCAAAGCTGGCGATGCCAATGGCATTGCTGGGGTCAAGCTGCTGTACGAGGAAATCGCAGCAAGCCTTGACCACGCTGTCAATCTGGTACATGACAGCACCGTTCATCACGTGGATAACACACTTTTCACCCACAGAGATGCTGGCTGTGTAGGCAAACTCTATCAGTCTGTCCATAACCTGGAAGGGTGGGACGGACAAAGGATGGGGCAATGAGAACACACAGTCAAGGAAAGAGATGAGGACAGAGGGACTGGATTGAGACAGAACTGTGCATACAAGAAAAATGCAATGGGAGAGAGAAATATAAATCTACTGCCGGGTATGTGTGCCTATTCATCTCTTCCTGGAAGGAAACAACCGATTAGCATCTCATAAACTAACAACTTTTAGATATGTGTGTTCCCATGTGTGTGCTTGGTAAACACCCAAGGTAAGCAAATCAGGTCAAACTAAGATTATTCAGCCAAGTCCTCCAGTACCTTTCACTGTTCACTTTTATTTGAGAGTAAGATCTTAGTTTTTTAAAGGGACAACTTGTATCGAAAAAAAAAATATGCAGAAACGATTTACACCTTTTGTAAGCAAACTTCCTGCTATCAGAGGCTAAGACAAATGTATCCAGAGATTTTGAGACATTATGGCAACTAGCAGTCTATGCATACATAGATATAGAAAGTGTATTACAAAAACATTTGTAACATTATTATTACATAAACAGCACTGTGCAAAAGTTAGGCATCATGTGGTACCATCCCAAATTACTTTTGTAGCATGTCAACAACCCCAAACACACTGCCAGAGTCGCAGAGAACTGTCAACAGCAGCAAGAACAAGCAGATGGTCAATATGGGATTACATGAAGAGGGAGAAGGAACTGATACAGCCTTAAAATCCACATAACAAGTGTGGCAATTTCTCTAAGACACTTCACACAATCTACCTGCCAAGTGTTATGTTATGTTACTGCCACAGTTATTTACTGTGTTTGTAAAAATACCTAAGAACTAGTGCTGTACAGGGCTAAAAGTGGTCACTCCAATTATTGAGTTCTGTTTATCTGTTTACTGCACTTTGCACGACGTTACAAATGAAAACTATTTATGGCACTATGTTTGAAAGCATCCTTACTGTACTTGTAGTGCTTCATTGTTCTTTTGCACAGTACTGTACACAACTTTGCATTACTGGTGCAACAGTCCAGTTAATCTTGATACTGATGTATAATCTGTAGCCGCATCTATTTGACACCTGTAATAATTTAAATGCTTGTAAAATTACATTTCCCATGAAACCCACTTGTTCTTGTTGCAAGGACGATGTTGGTTTATGCTACAAAAATAGTGATTCTATTCCTATTTAGTGCAGTAAAAAAACTCCTACTTTAGGCTGGAAAGCAGGAAACAAAGTCAATCAAATAAAATTCTACCCCATACAAGCAAATTGTATGTATTAAAATGCTACACATCAGACCATGAATTATGTTTAGAGATCTGCAAGTTGAACTGTATTTCAAATCAAATAAAATGTGACTAACCCTGGGGTGAATCCCTTCGATGGGCACCAACTCCATGCCGCACTCCTTCAGGCCATTGGTGAACATGGCCCGGAAGACTGGGGATGAGGAGGCCAACACCACCTTGTGAGCCACAAAGTCCACCGCCTCCAGGTCCTTGTAGCGAACACGCAGTGTGACGTCGCACAGCTGCCGCTCCAAACGCAGCTCGTTCATGATGGCGAAGGCAGCAGACGTGTGGCTCTCTAGCGTGTAGCTGAAGACGCGGTGACCGTTGCGCGTGGATGGAGTCACCAGCGCTTTGCATTCTGTCAGGCACTCTGTCATTTCCTACCCTTTCCCCTCCTCCTTAGTCTCTTTCTCAAGAACAGTGGACAGTAATATGGGGCATCCTTGCACTACATGCAAGCATGGGTAAAATAAAAGAAGATTTTTAAGTGAGGAGCTCGACAGATGGCTACACAGAAAACGCCAGGCTCTACTGGGTATTGCCTGATTTTTGTCTGAGTGAAAGAGTTCGGTCTGATTTATGAAGACATGAGGATTTCCACGCTCTGTTCAGTACTTGAGTCCAGCCATACTGCTCATCATGGCATTACTAGAGACTTGCATGCAAGCTGCTACTCATGGCTGGGTGCACTGTTACATGCTGCAGTTCCAACATGGTGACAGTGTTTAGGTAAGGATTCCTCTGGCTTTGTCTGACGGTTAACTTTTCAGAACAGAGTTAGACAATAACAGTCAACGAAGGTTTTCTGAAAGTATGAACCGCACAGGATTCAAAGTGGTCTCTCTCAGTTCAGCTGTTTGTGTTGGCAACACAGCTGTTTTTCTTTCCACTCTGGAGATGTCAAGAGAAACCTGTCAATCATTTCTGACAGGACAAACAGTATGCTCTCTCTTGTCTAGGGAATCGCCTATTTTTGCAGTTTTTGGGATAAAATGTATTTCAGTTGCTTAAATGACTCAAATAAAGCAATTCATCTGTTGCAAATAAAAACCCTTGCAAGATTCGCCAGTCGTACAACAGATTACTTTAGCCGAATTTATTGCTTCATTATTTAAAGACTGAAACCTCTTTTCAGACGGCTACACTTTGGCTGGAAGCTGCAGAGTTGAAAGCTTGTTGACTTCGAAAGGGCAAAAAGAAAGGGTCAAGTGCCAAAAGTGTCATAAGCGTAACTTGGAGCCCTTGGGAATGGAGGGTGTCCGGCTGGTGGGGGTGTTTGACAGCTTTCTCCAGAGACGTCTTACTCGAGGTTGCCCAGCTGAGGAATTTGTTTGCACCGCTGTGTTTACTGTGAAGCGGCTGGTTCAGCTGACAACTGGGAAAAGAGAAAGCGAGAGAGGTTGTGTTAGAGCCTGGCCGATACTGATATGCATATATAATTGTGTGTGTGTGTTTGTTTTCCCAGTAGAGCAATGTATTGTAACAAGATGATCAATGTTAATCACTTTACTCACTGTGTACTTTTACATGCACCACCAACCCAGAAAAATATGCCCTGCCACACAGAAAAAACTATTTAGAATTTGATTGCGGAACATGATAAAGAGCCCAGACGTCAACCTGCTGTCTGAACTCCACCTTCAACTTTCAACAATTCACAGACATTATAGGAAACCCAGAGATCCTGTGCCCATGCCCCGATGGGTTTGAGCTGTTTGGAGGCTCTACACAACAACAGGCTTTGGTGGCTGATTGGAAACATGGATAAAATGGAGTTGCAGGTCTGCTTGCCGATCCACAAATCTTGGCTGACTGATAAATTGGTCAAGCTCCAGCTGTATGCACATTATACATATATGTGTATTTATAAATTCTGCCACTGTTTAACTCTGTGCACACACACCAATGCTGACAAATGCATCGTCTTCTGTAGCAAATGACCCAGCACCAGCCTTTCACTATAAACTTACACAACATCAGTTTATTAGTGCAAAGAGACAATGACTTTTGCAGCAAGAGTGTTTTCTTCTGGGTGCAGTTCATTGGGGTCAAGGCTTCCTCATTTCAATGAGTGCATGTCTTTGATAAAAACATTCAATCTCATGCTCCATATCATGTGAAGAGAAGCTTAACAAACATGTTACTTCCACTGCTTCTGAACCCAAGACGAAGTTTATAATTGTTGCACAACTGAGGAGCGTTAGAATATGAGCAAAAAAAAAGGAAAAAAGCAAGCCAGTTTTAAGGAATACTGAGGGCATAATGTCCGTTTTGAAGGACAATGCAGTGACTTAAATTAGGCTTGATTATAGCTGGCCAGCATGAGTGTGTTTTTACTCTATCCTGTGACTAATGCAGCTGGGGGCAGGATCAGAGGGAACAGTTTGTGCAACAACCAACAAAATCCAAGTACACTCAACACTGATGTCTTGCAGACATGTAGCAACTTACAAAATCAGAATGAGAATCACGGGCTACTTTGACTTTAAGAGATTGGGAGAAATCATCTGCAGGAGATGATAAAACGAGCAGAAGACAGCTCTGCAGACTGGGTTGGAAATGAATACTTCTGCACGGTGAATGTGGGCTCTGGTCCACAGAGAAAACACTGTTGCACACCATTAAGCCAACCTGGAGGGATGCTGCAAAATTAATGCCTCACTTTGCCGTCATTCCAACTTCTCCTTTTCAGAGTATCTTCTCCTTTTCAGAGTATGAACTGCCTGTAACAGTAACACACAGTGCAGACAAGAGACACTAACTGTCTGGTGTTCTCTGATCAGGAAGAGTCAGAGTTACTCAGCAACAATGCCGCTGTGAGTGTACAGTTATATAACAATGCACCCATAGGTCTCTCACACACACACACACACACGACTCACTCTAGCTGCACACACACACACACACACACACACACACACACACAAATTATTACCTTAAGTCCTTAAGTGCTGATAAGAGGACGCAGTGCACACGCTGAGTTATCTTTAATCGGCAAAGATGAAGCCCACAAAATATTTATTATGTCTGAGCCTTTTTATTCCATCAACAGATGGTGACACGTCAGTGGCCATAGTGGAGCTCATTGTAACAGTCAGCCAGAACAGTCAGTCGAGCACACTGTAATATGAAACACACTGCAATTCCGTTTTACTGCTATGCTTTCCTCCCTCCAGGTTCCTGGGTAAAATAGTTTCACTGGAGAACATATTGCTCAACTTGCTCGCTCTCCACGGCAGACAGAAACTGCTCACTGATAAACAGGCTCCTCGAGTCCTGTTCTGTACCTGCTGCGTATTTCTAATATTTAACCAATAACTACAAAACAGGAAAGGCTCCGAATTAGACAAAAATTGACGAGTACACTAGCCTGCTTTTTGTAAACACAGACTAGTATAATTTGATGTAAACTACTCAAAAGAAGTAGATATTTGCTGCTGAATGTAGCTCTAAACTAAAACCAATACTGGATTTGTCAAGCCATGGAAACTTACTGTATTTTGATTGTTTAAGTCATTTTCCAAACAAAACAAAAGCAAATTCCCGGAATCAATTGAAATGTGAAGATTTGCTGCTTTTGCTTGTCTTACCAGAGTAAATGGATTTTTGTTTTGGATTTGTTTTTTTCCCCCAAAATCTATAGTTTATCTACAGAATTTTCCTCTACTAAACAGCATCAGAAAGTCTATCCACCCATCCATTATCTATACACCGCTCAATCCTCACTAGGGCCGTGGCGGGGCTGGAGTCTATCCCAGCTGACTCAGGGCGAAGGCAGGGGACACCCTGGACAGGTCACCAGTCCATCACAGGGCCACACTTAGAGACAGGCACTAAGCACGCTCACATTCACACCTACGGACAATTTAGAATCAACAATTAACCGCAACATATTTTTGGAAAATTTTTCCTCCTTTGTGGGAGGAAGCCGGAGAACCCAGGGAGAACATGCAAACTCCACGCAGAAAGATCCCGGTGCCCCCACCAGGGCGCGAACTGGCAACCTTCTTGCTGCGAGGCAACAGTGCTACCAACTGCTCCACCTTGCAGCCCCATCAGAAAGTTCAACATTGAAAATATGTTATTTTGCCTTACAAGAAGCAGGGAATCCTAAGATATGACAAGGTGGATCAGACAGGAAATATTTAATATTTTTGCTTGAAAGATGATTTGAACAATGTGATTGATTTTCTGTCAGACCTGTTAATACACCAGTTGTCTCAGTTCTTCTATTTGTTGCTCAGTCAAGCAGTGGATTAATCACGGATGACAATAATTTATGTTTGCAGCACTAAACTTGACACAAATTTAGATTAATGGTGCACAAAGATCCAACATCAGTGGCTTCAGTCAAACCTATGAGCCACACATACGCCCTCACACAGTCTCGCAGGGTGACAATATTTCCCTGAAGGACCCCTGAGACCCTGTACCCCAGTTTAGGAACCACCCTTCAGGCCTGCAATCCTTCTATGCCTGTCAGCACAGGAACTGCACAACAATTGGAGTGACTCAAACAACTTAAAACTGTTTTGTCTGAGTTACACTTACAGTATCGTCAGCGATTTCAGAGCTACAAAACCAAAAGTTGAAACCAAACAGAGTTCAACGTGCTTCATTGGCATTTTTTTTGGCAAAGAGCTTTCCTCGGTGACTCATCGTGAACTCTTCACCGAGCAAACAGTGGAACTGGATGTACCAAAACATGACCCAGAAGTGAAGGCAGTCCTTACATAAACCCAGATGGAATTAGATTTCCGCGCCATCTACCTGACACAAAGCTCCACTCCGATCACTGTACGGTGACCGTCTCTGCGCTTGTTTTGATCAAAATACACCACAGAAAGCTGGCGTGCGACGGGGAAACAGACAAAGCAGAATCGGCGAAATCTTCTATTTGGGGTAGTACGAGGGATGAACTCAATGGTCCCGGGATAAAACGGCCAGAGTCACCGCAAATAACAAGTTAAACGTTTCGGAAATAGAGCTGACAACAAAATAGGCTCCTAATAATAGACAGTAGAGTAGCGGCTAGAGCCGAAGCCCGCACAAACATGCTAACAAAGCGCTACCTAAACGTCTCCCTGCTACCAGCCAACGTCCAAAGCTGCCCACACGGTTCGTTTAAATCATTAGTAACTGCTGAAATCTGTATTAAAAGCAACTCACGTAGTCTAGCTCAATTCCTCCATCGCGGTGTTCTGAGCTGTGCGCCACATATGAAGGAGGGGGAAAGCTGTAACTCACCGTGACTAAGCATTGTACAGGCCGCCTCTCGCCTTCACAATAAGAGCTCGCATTCAAAGCGCCGGAGCCGCCGTTGACGAACAATGGAAGAGAAACAGTTCCCGAGGGAGAGGGCTTTTATTGCGAAGGAGCCCTCAGAATGAAGATAAAGCGGGGCCAATTGTGGGCAGGGTGCCAAAAACTGCAGCGTCAATCAAATTTGTTATAAATAAAATCTCTTTCAGACATGCACTAATGTCTGAATGAGCATCCTGGTCACTTTTCTGTAATTTTAAGCTCTTTTTAGACATAGGATATGCAGACATTGCTGGCTTCATCAGTCTGCTCAAGTGACTGCATTCTGTCATTCAGACATAAGTCACTTTTAAGTTAATGTTCATTCATTCAGACTTCCCATAGACTATCTGCAGCCATAATGTGAGAAATGATTTACTTACAGCTTTAAACTGCAACTATTCGTGTTATGGCTCACAGTGTTTCCTCTTGGATTTTTTTCAGCAGCAGGGGCAAGCTGACTGCACTTGAATGACACTTCACTGAAGATTTTACTTTGACAACCTATTTATTGAATGGCCAGCTGAAAATAAATAATAATAAATAATAATAAATCAATAAAACAATGCAATTAAATCAATAAAAATAAAAAACAATAAATAATAATTTCTAGAAGTGGTTGTAGAATCAGTGGCAAAGTTTGCACCCAGGCTCAGAAAAATAAGTTTTGCTGGGTTTTTTATAGAAGAGCTCTAAAGCTCTGTTGTAGGGAAATTCTCCGAGAGGTGGCCGCTGATGCTCAGCCGCATACATGCTGCAAGCTGATCCCCTGCAGCCTGTTTCTCAAGTCAGTCTTCACCTACAAATAGAAACAATAATCAGATTGTTTCTCTCAATTTCCTACACACTAATCCAGGGGTGTCAAACTCATTTTTATCCTGGGCCACATAAGCATTATTTGCCCTCAAAGGGCCAGTTGTAATTGTATGTGACTGTAGTGACTGTATAAATGTAATGACTCCTTAACATACTGGTAAATAATTGTCTCTGCATTTGATTATTATATATTCTATGTACAAATATTGTGCATGCCTAACCTACAAGTAAAATATATGTAGCAGGGCTCCAGACAAACTTTCCAATGGTAGCAACTTTCATCGTTAGTCGCACCAGCTAATGATTTGGTCCCACACCCCATATTTTATTGGTTCAGCATTGCCACAGCTATTAATGCACCATGCTACTGATGAATAGTTGTTTTTGCATAACTTAGTTATGTTACAATGATTTTCAGTCATACAAGACTAGATATTTGTAAAATGTTTTAATCTGAAAATATATTTATTTTGTCACCAGTCCTCCTCTGATATCGCTCATTAACTGGACACAGGCTAAACAATTGCTGAACATGTGTATGACTTGATGGTACATTTTACCGATGTTCCCTAAACACCTCACATGCTGCTCTGCTAGATGCTACCAGAGGGGTATACTACAAAGCAAGTTTGACATAGCCAGGCTTTCTTTGTATAGGCCGAATCGACAAAACTGAAAGCCCCAGCCAGAGACTACAGGGATCACGAAGGTGGTTCTAAACTTTTTTTTGTCAACTCAGACTTTCCGCTTCACACTCTGCGCGTTCACATAAAAAGGAGCGTTCAGCGCATCTCGTGACTCTTCTACACAAAATGAAACAATCATGTGTAGCTGCTTCAGTACACATGTTGTTTTAATGGAGAACAATGAGGAATGTATATATATGTATAAAATATGATGCAGTTGGTTAGCACTGTTGCCTCGCAGCAAGAAGGTCGCGGGATCGCGTCCCGGTGGGGGCACCAGGATCTTTCTGCATGGAGTTTGCATGCCCCGTGCAGCGTGAGTTCTCTCCGGCTTCCTCCCACACAGTCCAAAAACATGTTGAAGTTAATTGGTAATTCTAAATTGTCCGTAGGTGTGAATGTGAGTGTGCTTGGTTGTCTGTCTCTAAGTGTGGCCCTGCGATAGACTGGCGACCTGTCCAGGGTGCCCTTGCCTTCACCCTAAGTCGGTCGTTACAGCGCAGCTTTATGGGGGCGGGGTGAACAGAGTATTGTGGTAGTGTTTGTGATGGGAGCGTCTGGAAAATAGAATAAGCACACCTCTTCTCTCATTTCGCGACCAGATGGCTGTAATACGAAGCGAGATCAGTGGGTTATCGAGGTATGTTGTCAAAGGTAGCTCTCTTTTTACCTGGCTAAATCTCCATGGTAACTTATGCTGTGGAGCAAACCTGGTCGGGAGCAGGTTATGTTCAGAGTTTCAGATTTAAATCAGCTGGAAAGAGCGTCTCTCTTTAACCAGATCATTTCCTGACTATTATTTAATTATTTATTTATTTACATTTAATTTAATTTTTATTTAGTGATGCAAACAAACAATGACAAGAGGGACAGTGTTACATACAGTTACATACGTAAGGAGACCAAAACAAAAACCAAAACAAAAGTAAGAACTAAAACAAAACAAGACAACAAAGAATCAGTTCAAACCAGGGAAACTTATTTAACTCTGGCATTTTAAGTTTGAAAGTGGTATGTGTGTGTGTGTGTGTGTGTGTGTGTATGTGTGTGTTTGTGTGTGTGTGTGTTTGTGTGTGTGTGTGTTTGTGTGTGTGTGTGTTTGTGTGTGCGTTTGCGTGTGCAAGCGTATGTGTGTGTCTGTGTATGTGCGAACGCATTTGGGTTTCTTGGGAGGGGAACATAATAGAGGTTGTGGGTTGAAACCTTCCGTTGGAAAAATAAGTGAGAAGTGTATATGGTAGGTACAGAGCTAAGGGGAATTGGTTCCCAGGCAACTAAGAACTGTGATGTTAGCAAAAAGTGGATTCATGATTGAAGGTGAGGAGAGGGGTCCAGACAGAGAGGGTTTCCACTGCTGAATGTTGGGATGGTGTAAATAAATGTTCCAGGGATATGTGTTCTGTAAGTAAGTTTTTCCATTGGGTGATGTTTGTATTGCTCCTAGTTTTCCAATTGATGAGAATGGGTTTCTTGGCGATAGTAAGGGCTGTGAGAAGCAGTTTATTATTTGATTTGCTAAGATTTGTTTACTGATGTGGTGTCGCCGAGTAAACAGAGTGAGGGGGACATAGGGATGTGGCAGCCCATTAGGGTGGAGAGTGATTGGATGACCTTGGTCCAGAACTGTTCAATTGGTGTGTAGTGCCAGAAAGCGTGGATGCAATTGTCTGGTATTTTTTGGGTGCAGTTAGTACAGATTTCTGAGGTGAATCCCATTTTAAACATTTTCTGTCCCGTGAGGTGTGTTCTGTGAAGTACTTTGTATTGGATTTGTTGTATGTTTGCATTTCTTGACATTAAGTAAGTATTTTGGATGATTTGGCTCCAGAAAACGGCATCAGGAGCAATCGACAGATCTATTTCCCATTTTGATTGGTGCTTCCAGTACTGAGATATGGTCTTGGTTGAGTTGTGGTAGATTGATGTTATTAAGAAATGAAACAATATCTTCTTGGT